GCTTTATATGTCATCATTAATACTTTGAAATCAATGTGGAAACGAACAGGTAGCCAATGCAAGGCCGCCAGAGTGGGGGAGATATGTTAATGTTTTCTCACCCCAGTAAAAAGTCTGGCCACTGCATTCCACACCACTTGAAGCTTCTGCATCAATCTCAAAGGTAGCCCCACGCAGAGCGCATAACAGTAATCTAATCTCGAGACTACAAGCGCATGGACCAGAGTGGTGAGGCCCCCGACATCAAGATAGGGATGCAGCTGGGTGATCCACCAAAGATGGAAGTAGGCGGTGCAGACCACTGATGCTACCTGAGTTTCCATGGTAAGCACCGGATCAAAATGTACCCCCAAGCTGCGAACCTCAGTCTTTGTGGTGAGAGTCAAACCACCAATGTCTGAGCCACCCACCCTCAGGACCTCTGTCTCGTCTGGGTTCAGCCTCATACCATTTGCCTGCATCCATACCAGTACGACATCCAGACAGCGCTGAAGGGACAGAACGGCATCCACTGTTGTAGGAAAAAAGGAGATGTAGAGTTGGGTGACAACAGCGTACTGATGACACAAAGCCCCACACCTCCTGATGACCTGACCCAGCGGCCTCATGTAGATATTAAACAGCATTAGGGAGATAATTGAGTCCTGCGGAACCCCACAATTGAGATTCCACTGGGCCGAAACACAGTCCCCAAGCTGTACTCTCTGAGGACAGCCCTCCAAGAAGGATCAGAGCCAGGCTAACGCCAGACCACCGATTCCCAACTCGGAGAGCTTCCCCAGGAAGATACCATGGTCGATAGAATTGAAGGCGGCTGAGATATTGAGAAGGACCAACAGAAACATTTTGTCCCTTCTGGCCTCTCTCAGGAGGTCATCAAACAGGGTGACCAATGCTGTTTCCATACTGTGGCACAGCCTGAAGCCAGACTGAAATGGATCCAGGGCGTTGGTTTCATCCAGAAGGGCCTAAAGCTGGTCAGCCACCACCCTCTCTACCACTTTACTAATGAAATAAACATTGGCGACGGGCATATAATTGCCAGTATTGTCCACCACCAAATTTGGTTTCTTCCTAATGGGCCTAATGAGTGTCTCCTTGAGACCCATTAATTATTGCAGTGGCCCATTTGGTTGTTGTAGGCTGCTTTGATTAGCCAGGCTGGGCAAGGGTCAAGAGAAGATGAGGTGGCATGACAGTGGTCAAGCACCTTGTCCACCATATCTGGTGTCACAGGCTGAAAGAGATCAAGTTTCATAAAGCAAGGTGGGGCGCTGGTATGTGTATGTATACCCCTATACAGGACTGCACTATGGAGGGCAGTGGGGGAAACATATTCTGTTTTTGTTCCCGTCTACACAGAATTATCCCATTAGAACAATTTTTTAAGACATGTGGCCATCCATTTTGTAAATTAGCTGTTCCAAAATGTTTTGATGTGATACAATATTCTGGTTTTCAGCAAACTCTCCCTTTTTGCCCCTCCTTATTTCTGATTGGCTAATGGATTTTAAAAGTTTGCTTATGTTCAGCTGATCCAACATTTTAAAGCTTGTTTTTGTTGCATGTGGTAATAAATAAAATATTCATGTAATACTTTAATATTTTTCTATTAAAAATTTCCTAATAAACAAAAATAGTAGCACATTTTCATCAACACTTAGGTGGCACAGAATCGTGTTGCCAATTTATGCTTGTGGAATCATGTAAATCTTGGTGGCAAATTATCAGTCATCAACGAAGTGCTGGGTGCATTACTGGGTGCGCCATCAGCATTTGCCAATCCAAATGACAGTGTTTTTGTCAATCAAGATGTGCAGACAATACAGTGTATCACGAGCTGACTATTTAGACTGGGGCTTTACACTGGATTTGGACAAATCCAGAATTAAAAATTGAATTGCCCTGATTTGGACCTATTTTGTATAAGGTCCAACTCGAAGTGGAAAGGCCATATTTTGTTCCAAAATGAATTAAAGTGAATTTACAAAACAATTTGTGTCTGGAGTAGAAATTGAGGCTTTGACTACACTGGCAAGCTGAATCAGAGCTATTCAGCTTTGGTGCAGCTTGATTCACAGCCTATTTTACGCTTCTGTTCAGATTAGTAATCACATGGAGACTTCGGATTGTATCAGTGCCAGTGTTCACACCAGCACCCTCAATCTGATGTGGTTTGATCACAAACTAAAATTAACATTCAGAAAACAAATTTCATGGTAATCATAAAATGCAGGTGGCACAAAAATGGCAGTTATAGATCCAAAATAAAAATTTGGAGCCTGTTGAAAAATAAGGTAGCTTTGAGATTTATGAAATGCCTTAATGATATCTCATTTGGATTAGTTTAATGTGCTCTATATAAGGCTGCTGTTGGAAACTGTTTGGAAACTTAAGGGGGTCTAGAATGCTGCAGTTAGGCTCCGAGTAGGAGTTGGCTACAGAGAAAACAGAAATTCCTTGTTACAACATGTTCATTGGCTATTGATCCATTTCCAGGCATAATTCAGTCTTGGATTTGACCAATAACGCCCTCAATGGCTATCTGAGGGATTCCATCTCACCATTTCAGCCTCTCTGGGTTTTAAGATCTTCCAGGGAAGGCTTTTCTCTTGGTCCCACCACCCTCACAAGAATGATTGGTGTGGAAACAGAAAAAAACAAAAATCCAGTAGCTCACAGGCTGTAGAATTTCCTCCTGGGGAGAATAGTCTGGCAGTCCCTACCACCACTGTCTTTCTGCCACAAGGAAAATACTGTACCCTGTACCTTTGTTTTCTGGCAGGCTTTTAATATATAAACTGAGGATCAGTAAGGAATTTTAAGGGGGTTGTTATGTTATGTGCTGTCAAGTCAGAACCAACTTACCCTAATGGTGTCAGCTAATGAAATTACACATTTATACACTATGGGTCAAAAGATCTAGTTGGGGGGGGCGGATCTTCTTGAAGGCTTCTTTAAAGAGCTCTGCTTTAATAAACTTTCTGAATGTTAAAAGGGAAGGGGCCTAGTGTATTTCCACAGGCAGAGTGTTCCAAAGTGTCATGGCCTGAGAAGACCTGTTTCCTAGTCACAGTATATATATATATACAGTATTTATCCCACTTGTCTCCTAAAAAAGAACCCAAGGGTGGCTTACATAATTAAAAACCCAATATTAAAAGCTAAAAACAATAAATTATTTAAATATTTCAAAAAGAGTTTATAACATTATATTAAAAATGTTATGTAAAAGCATTACTAAAGATACATTTAACAGCAACAAGACACAAGAATCTGTTTAAAAACCGGTCTCAGACTAAAGAAAAGTCTGCCTAAAGAGAAAGGTTTATCTTTGCCTGCCTGATGGAGGACATCTGGCAACCCTATGTGGGAGGGGATTCCAGATTTTAGGAGCAGCAACAGAGAAGGCCCTGTCCCATGTCCCCCACCAAATGTGCCTGTGAAGGTGGAGGGATCAAGAGAAAGGACTCCCCTGATTATCATAATATTCCAGCAGGCTAATAAAGGGAGACATGGTCTTTGAGATAGCTTGGATCCAAACCGTTTAGGGCTTTATATGTTAAAACCAGCACTTTGAATTGTGCCTGGCTGGAACCAGACTGGCAGCCAATGGAGCTGCTGCAACTGGGGGTGGTGAGGTTATATGATCCTTGTAATCAGCTCCAGTTAACAATCTGGCTGCACTGTTTTGCCCCTGCTGAGGTTTCCACGCCCTTTCCAAAGGCAGCCCCACACAGAGCGTATTACAGGCTGTAACTAAGGCATTTGACTCCTCCAGGAACAGGGGCAGCTGGATCAAGAAATCGTAAACCAATAATAATATGATCCACTTCCATGTTAGGCAGCGTATCAGGCAGCAACGATTCTCCAGCTCATTCAGCCTTGTGCCAGTGTTTTGGCGTCTTCCCATGTAAAAAGGTACTGCCTTCAGGTCTTGGGTCAGTATTCTTCGCCATGTTATTCGAGTGCGTCCTCGTCAAATAAAAAGCAAAAAGCGAATTGGTTCTTGTGGGTTTTTCGGGCTGTTTGGCCAGCAAAACGTTAGGAAGAAAAACCTCCAGAACACGGCCAAACAGCCCGAAAAACCCACAACAACCGTCGGATCCCGGCCGTGAAAGTCTTCGAGAACAGAAAAAGCTAATTCTCCACAAAAAAGCAATGAGAAACAAAAAAAAGTGCAGATTGTTTCAGCTGCTCGTTCAAAGTGAAATTAACGGGAAAAGAAATGGGTGCAGAAAAACGTAATGGCTAAAGAACTCAGAAGACTAATGCGGATGCTACAACACAACCTAATTATTTATAGCTGCCTTATAGCAGAGCCCTGATTGTGTCAGAAAAGGAACACCGCGTAGCTGACTCTATACAGTACTTTGGCTGATAGATGTAACAATAATTTTATAATGGAAGTTGACACTCCTTACATTAGTTATTGCTCGTATGCATTTAACATCGGCAAGCTTGCATTTACATATACTAGTGATGTCCTCCAAGCAGTGAAATGTGCGACCTGTTGATTTCTGATGATTAAGGTGCATTTAAACCGTTAAAAGCACGCGTGGGCAATTTTGTCATGAGCCTCAACTCAGCGCGAACGCACGCCGCCAATGCACCAGGCGTTGCCCCTGAAATTTGTTTTGTTAATACAGTTTATATTGTTGATGTATTCAGTGCAGATCTAAAACATTATATTATTTTAATTTCACCCCGTAAACCTATTCCATTTTCAATACTATGTGGGTAAATCCCCAGCCCAACTTTCCCCGCCCCTCCAGTTGCTACGGCAACAGAAGGCACCACTACGCCCACTCTTTTTTTTCTAGCCGCTCTAGCCCATTCTCCGTCTTTTGGTTGCTCGCCTGTAGAGCGCCTCTATGGTCGGATGAGGTCATAAATTCGCGCGAAGGGAGGGTAACTGCGACCGATGAAACTGAAATCATGGCGGCGGTGGATATACGAGGTAATGGGTTCGTTGTTTATACTAGACTAGAGGATGGAATTTTTCTAGTTGCTGCAGCAGATCATTTAGAAGCGATCCTTTATATTCTGTCAAAGGCGCGTTTTGTTTTTATTTTTACCATTAAAGCCTTCCAGGAGCTGTGAGCTAGTTAACGGGAAAGAACAGTTCCCCAGCAGAGCCAAGGATATATAACAAAAAGATATAACGTCGGTGGGTCCGCGGAGTAAAACCCTTATTCTATTTTAAATCACAGTAAAAATAAAATTTAAAAAGGCTGGTCAAATGTCTCCTGCTTCGAAATAGCTTCGAAAGTTAGTTTTGATCTCTTGAGATGTTACTCTCTAATAACATAAAATTACTGCTTTTTGGGTGAAAAATGATATAAAGGACTAACTATTAGTAGTCTCTTTAATGGCACTCAGTAAAAATCTGCAAAACGAAAAAAGAATCTAAGAACAGGTTTCTTCCAGGAAAGTACAATGTTGGCTTAATTAAAACAGCTTTTATAACTATAGCGCGTGGTGTGTAAAATGTGTATAGTTTATTCAGCCTGTGAACTGTGTAACGGGGAACTGAGAGCATGTACATCCAGATTAATTAAAGAGGTTTTGTCTGGCTAGTCCTTAAAGAGTAACCTTTGAATCTGATCTCTGAAACATAAACATTTATTAAAACAAATGTTTATGTTTCAGAGATCAGATTCAAAGGTCTGGAGGACTTCTCTGACCTGTAAAGAAGTGGTCCCCAACCTTGGGCCTCCAGATGTTCTTGGACTTCAGCTCCTGGTCAGCAGGGGTGGTGGTGAAGGCTTCTGGGAGTGGCAGCTCAATAACATTTGGAGGCCCACGGTTGGGGACCACTGCTGTAAAGGATTTAGAAATTTTACTTAATGTTAACTGTTAAAATTGTTCTGATGTGGAAAGTGCATAGCAAAGTCTCCTATACTAGGATTTAATAACAGTCTTTAATGGTGCTTAGTGTTATTTTTTTGTTGCTTTTTTAGATGGGTTTTAAATTGTATTTAGTTATTATTTGTGATAATAATCTAACAGTACTTTAGGACTTTTAACTTCTTGTGTGTTTTAGCTATATTTGGTACTTTAAAATTAACATGTTAAGCTGCCATGGTTAGGATATTATAAACACATGAAGATCTAATAAAATGAAACAGTCCTTTCAAAATGAATAATGTATATGTAGAAGGAAATATTCACACTCTGGCCACTGTCAGTCACTGAAAAGGACTCAGGATATAATAATTGGCCATTTATGGGTGCAAACCTGGTTAGACCTGTGACTGGTGTAGCTAAGTCCCCTGTTTATCTACTTACTTAATAAAGATAATGAATATTATATGAGGAAGCATATGTAAGATCATATTTTCTTAATTTAAGGAGGTCTGATATCTCCAATTTTCCTGAACAGATCTTAATTTCTTAATTTAAGGAGGTCTATAAAGAAGTCCCATTTTGCGCAGCTGGACCTTCCAATTTAATTAAAGTGTAATTTTTACAGTGTTTAAATGTATAAGGTGTCAGAAAATCCACTGACTTGTAAAATGAAATCCCTTTTCTGCTTCATGTGTTGTTTTAACAAACCTGTTTTTAAGGTCAAGCCTTTACCATCCTTTTATGATTCTTTCACTATAACAGAGAATTAGTAATAATTATCAATATTTGGTAATTCAAAGTGTGTGAAATGTGGAATTGAAGCTAATTTCACAGGTTTCTTTGACCTGTGAAGAAGAAATTAATACAGTACCTTCTGCAGTGTCTTTTCCTGTTCTGTGGGAATATTGATTGCCTTTGTACTGTGTTTCCCCCAAAATAAGACAGGGTCTTATATTAATTTTTGCTCCAAAAAACACATTAGGGCTTATTTTCAGGGAATGTTTTATTTTACAGTTATGTCATCTTCTTCTGGTTGCTGCAGAATGGTGGCGGGCAGGGTTTCACTTAATGGGGGCTTATTTTTGGGGTAGGATATTACGAGCATTCTAAAAAATCATACTAGGGCTTATTATCAGGGCAACAGGGTATATATAGTTCTGAAACAGTTAAATTCAGAGGATAGATGCAATAATGGAATCTACATTGGCTCTGTGCCAAACTTGTTGAGGTTCTGATATTTTAAAATATTTATACTGTTGGAGGAGTGCTGACAGCATTAATTTCCCTGTTGCTAAATGCAATGTAACTGAACTGTTTTCAGAAGTATACACCTCGTTAAATTGGTTTAGGGTCTGCCAAAAATACAGCGGTAATTTCTACTACAAAGTATTTGCTTTCTAAATTATTTTGATGGGTCCAAAATAATAATAGATAATTTAATTCTTCATCTACATGCTGAACTTGGCACTGCTAATCTGCTGTCCAATACACACCTTCATGGGGACATGTTACATTGAACATAGGTAAAGGTTCCTCTTGTTCAACTCTAGAGGGCGGTGCTCATCCCCGTTACCAAGCTGTTGAGCCAGCGTTTGTCCATAGACAGTTTCCATGGTCATGTGGCCAGCGCGACTACAGAATGCCATTAGCTTCCCGCTGTGATGGTACCTATTTATCTGCTCACATTTTTACATGCTTTCAAACTGCTAGGTGTGCTCTGGTCCTTGGGTCATGAAGAGTTGGACACGACTTAACGACTAAAGAACAACAACAAATAATCTACAATTTATACATAGGACTATACCGTTAGTCTGACCCAGCAGATGAATTTCAACAGCAGGTTTCTGCCACTGACTAGTATTTAAATTTAACAAAGTGTGAGGAGTTTAATTGAGCATCTTATCCGATCTTTTGGGGAGTAGGGTATACTGGTTTTGGAATCTTTCTGGCACTTTGAATTGAGGGCATGGGGGTGTTACAATGGCAGTTGAATCTTTAATGTGCTCGTTAGTGCTGCCGTCACAGCTGAGCACCGTACATTTCCTGTTAATATGGAGATGAACCTGATTTAGTCAACCTCTCACTGAAAACATCTGGAACTCCCTTGATATTTCCTAATATAGGTTTTCTTTATTGCATTGCAGTTGAATTTTTAAAGTATGCTATTTGGAAGTCTTCCTGTAGCTTTTGATTTGTAATGTGGCTAGGTTTCAAGTAAAATAGATCTGGAGAGGGTTTTGTCAAAGTTGTGTCATCTTGTATGCATCTGTTTCTTTAATACCTATGTTTATTTCAACTACTATTTTTTTTATATATAAGAGGGTAAATTACAACATTGAAGGATCAACTTTTATGGAAATGAAATAGAGCAGAGCACATTTACATAGTAACAAGACTGTCTCTTTACTTGCTCCTTTATGCAAGAGTTAGAGAGCAGCAGATTATTGATGCAGCATATGAATTATTCAGAGGCCTATTTATGCTGCATTAATCATGATTTCCCAAGCATCTAGGTTTTGCTTTCTAAAAGCTTTCTGAAACAATGCGCTCATATTTTATATACTCATATACAGTAGTATAGCTGAGTTTGCTCACTCAAAACCTGTTCAGCAGGCATACATTTACCAAATAGTTGCAGTGGGTTTTCTCAGTTTGCAAGTAGTAATGATGCAAACGCATTATATTTCCCTATTGTTTGTGACATGTCTGTGTTCACTTTTACCTTTTAATATGGATATGAAGTGTTCTGCACTGAGAGTCTGATAAGATTTTTGAGATTTCCATAGTTTAAAATGAACTTCTGACTCCTCCTGTGGCTTCCTTTCCTTTAATTTTGCTTCCTTAAGCATTTAGAGCTACTGCTGGAGTTGTCCTGCTGGTTGATGTAGGATGTGCTCTTTGTGTAACAGAACATAGTCCTTTTGTTCTACCTTATCTGCTTGTTTGTTTTTGCATTTATAATCTGCCTTTGTTTCCCTAAGCTCAAAGAGGTATGCATAGGATTTGCAGGTGGTAGCCGTTCTAGTCACTGACCAGATGTGATCAGCTCTAGCAAGGTTTCTATATCATGTGACTGCACAACAAGGGGAACCTAGATTTGTGTGTGTATGTATTGCTTTTAGGGTGGGTGGAAAAGAGCTTGTGGATATTGGACCTTTGTTAAAGTGTATTGTTAGTGCATATGTTTATATTATTACTTGTATCCACCTCCACCAAGGAAAACCCAAAACCAAGTGTACTTGGCTCTAACAAGTGTTTTCCCCCCTCTTTCCCCTTCTCCAGATAACCTTCTGGGTATCTCCTGGGTTGATAGTTCCTGGATTCCAATACTGAATAGTGGAAGTGTCTTGGATTACTTCTCAGAGCGTAGTAATCCATTCTATGATCGAACATGCAACAACGAAATTGTGAAAATGCAAAGACTAACCTTGGACCACTTGAAGTAAGTTACTATGAAACATTTATATGATAGTAATATTATAAAACAACATCCAGGTTGTACTCCTGTTAAATACTTAAATGAGAGTAAGTCCTGCAGTAGGGTTAATGTTGCATTAGTTGTGTGTAAGAATTCTTTGGGAGGGATCATCTATGCCAGTGGTCCCCAACTTTGGGCCTCCAGATGTTCTTGGACTACAACTCCCAGAAGCCTTCACACCACCTCTGCTGGCCAGGATTTCTGGGAGTTGATGTCCAAGAACATCAGGAGGCCCAAGGTTGGAGACCACTGATCTATGCAATCTAAAGAGCAACAAGATTACAACTCCCAGGAAGCACTAGGCAACTTCCTTTGTTGTGCATTTACAACAGAAGTAGGATGGATCTAGGCTGTGCAGCCTGTAAGACGAGGCCCCGATCCAGCTGAGCGAAATGTAGGAGTGTATAGGTGTGGGTCTGTGGCTTGGAACTCACAGAATTCAATTTAGGGAAATCTTAAAGAATTCTGGCAGTTGGAGTAAAAAAAAAAAATCAAAATGGCACATGCCTAGTCAGAAGTCCAGTAGGCAACAAATATATTAAAACAAATGCATCATACTGGACAGCAGTATAAATTTCAACATATAATTTTTTTGTCTGGAAGCTGTCAGAAAAAGGAGTGTGTCACACTTAATTTCTTAAATGACTTGCTCCAAGAGGAACCACTGACAATTATGGAATTGTTCCATCTTTGTGAAGCTCTCCATTCATTTGTTTTCCATGTCTGTGCAATAACTTCAAAGTAGCTGTATCTCCTGATGTCAGTCTTGTTCTCTTCCCCTTCAGTCAAATGGTTGGAGTGGAATATATCCTCCTTCATGCACAAGAGCCAATTCTCTTCATTATTCGAAAGCAGCAAAGACAGTCTCCGACACAAGGTGAGGATGTACACAGCATAATAATTAAGGGGGGAAACCATAAATGCTGTAGGCATGGCCCGTCCTGTACAGGTGCAGTATTCATAGGGTTCAACAAGGAGCCTCCCCTTCAGTGTATGTCCCTAGAATAGCTGCTCAGCACTCTATGCAAGCTTCCTGTATCCTTTTCCAGCCTCCCTATCTGGTTTTTGAATCAAGTTGCACAAAATTTTGAGATATGGGGTATGTATATGTTAACTCCAATTGATCATGGCAACTTGTTAAGAAAGAGGAGAAAAAATGGGAATCCTTTTGTGGTGGGGATGCTGTGCCTTCCAGGGAAGGAAGAACATATTTTGTATTTGGGGTAGGAGATACATCATTACTATTTTCCCAGTCCACAGTTCGGAAAAGGTTTGGGGGCCGCTGCTTTAAGTTATACCAATGGCTCTTGTCTCACAGTGGAAACAAAGTTGAATAGTCCTGGCATTTATTGTGTTCTGTCCTTTCCCTTTTCTGTTTCAAAGTGTCTGGTTATTACTTTCTGAAGTGATTTACACAAGACAGCATGTCATTGCACATACATTTTGGACAACATCACTATAGCTAAATGCTTGTGTATATCCTCATTCTATATTCACAATCCATTTTCCATTTACTGTTCCTGTCAGTGATAGTTTTAATGAGTGAAGTCCAGATGCAATACTAATTTTGCTGATTCTTTTCTCTTGAGCCTCTACAATATATTGGTTAGAGAGCCCATCATGGGGAGACCTAATCTCAGATTTGCATTTAGATATGCAACTCTTCAGAGCCTGCCATCAACTCTGCCTGGCTTATCTTACAAAAGAAGATAAAATAATTGGAAGGGAACTGTCAGTACTGCCTTGAGTATCTTGCAGAAAATGTTGCCTGTGAATACAACAGTAAATAAATAGGACTTTAATATGATCTTTTTGTTCCAGTGAGTTAAGCAAATTCACCCATTGGTTATCTTAAATTTTCTGGTAACTGCACTAATGTTGCCTTTTTTCTTTTTCAGTTATCCCATTGGCTGATTATTACATTATAGCTGGAGTAATTTATCAAGCACCTGATCTGGGATCAGTTGTGAATTCTAGAGTGGTATGTCTGTGTGTTTTGTATTCTGTAATAGAAGAAGAAAACAGTTCTGTGGCTCTGTTCGTTTGTTTTTGTTTGTTTCATTTGCCTGCAAGCTTTAGTGGGGGAAATGTATAAGAAAATTGCAGAATAAATGCTATTGAGCTCCTATATGGTATATATATAGTTTTTACATGTAAAGTGGAAGTTACTGTACACCAGTGGTTCTTAACCTTGGGTTACCCAGGTGTTTTTGGACTGCAACTCCCAGAAGCCTTCACCACGAGCTGTGCTGGCTGAGGTTTCTGGGAGTTGCAGTTCAAAAGCATCTGGGTAACCCAAGGTTAAGAACCACTGCTGTACACTAGGAGTTTGCCTTAGTACTTCTCCTTGGGGAGAATGCTCCACAGCAGGCACCCTAGCTGAGAACTGCCCCAGTAGCGACCATAAGTCAAACTTCAGAAGGTGGAGGCATCTGGTGAAGGCCCCCTGGGTTGAGCTGTGTGTATGAAATCTGAATAGCAAATTGGTGCTCTATGAGCATTTTCAGATTGCTTTCACCTTTCCTCATTGATTCTTGCTCCACATGCTTTTCTTTACTAAGTGGTAGTTCTATACCACTGGTTCTTAACCTTGGGTTACTCAGGAGTTTTGGACTGCAGCTCCCAGAAGCCTTCACCACCAGCTGTCCTGACTGGGGTTTCTGGGAGTTGCAGTTCAAAAGCACGAGTAGCAAAGGTTAAGAACCACTGTTCTATACCATCACTCTTTTTATTCCTTCTCCCCCACCACTGACCTTTAAAAAAAAAACCAACACCTTTGCTCCAGAAGGCCTAGATGGACTCTGTATCAAAGGTGAGCAACTTACAAAAGTCCAGGGGCCAGATAGGCCCGTGTCTGGTCCCACCAAGATATATATATTTAAATATTTACTGAAAAAAAAACCTCTTACACCCTCTGGTTGTTATGGGGAACACTTTTGTGCAAAGTTTTTTTTTCTTTTATCAGAAATGGCTCCTGAGTTTTTAGAGTCCCTCCCCCTCGGTTGAAATAGCTAATGGGGTCAAAATCTGCATAGGTTGCCTGACACACTTGCTAGGCTGTAAGAGGACTTTCTTTGAGTAAATTACAAGTGGGGGAACAATGCTTACCTCTTGCATTAGCCCATATAAGTTCAGAATACTCTGCTGTGTATTTGTAAATAAAATTTATTAGTTAGTTTTATTAGCTAAAACATAGTACCAAGAGTAACATAATCCATTTCTTTAAAATGCATCTTTTTTTTCAAGCTCACTGCTGTACATGGAATCCAGTCAGCTTTTGAGGAAGCTATGTCCTACTGTCGTTATCACCCGTCCAAAGGCTACTGGTGGCATTTCAAAGACCAAGAGGAACGAGGTAGAGCACTTACGCACATTAGCCTTTAATATCCTTCTCTTTCTTCTCAGAAATTCAAATATTAGGTTCAGTGTGTATAGTTTGTTAAAATCTCTGCTAATGCTATTATTTTAAGTATTACACACAGGAACACACAAAAAGAACTGAGAAAGAATTAAAGTATTCATTCCAGGTGGTCTACCTGACAAGGACAATGCTAAAAATATCCATCTTCTTCCTTAATATTTTATTCCCACACTTTCAGATCTTAATGCCTGCAGTTCATAATTTGAAGGAAATATGAACCCATATTTAAAAAGTTTAGTTAAAATATTTTTCCAAAAAAAATAAGAAAGGAAATGAAAATAGAAATAAAACATAAGTTCTAATGAAATATTTCATGGTTATGTCTTCAATACTGTTTCCAGATAAAGCCAAACCTAAACCCAAAAAGAAGGAAGAACCAAGCTCAATTTTCCAACGACAACGTGTGGATGCCTTACTTCTGGATCTGAGACAAAAATTTCCTCCAAAATTTGTGCAAGTATGTAGTTAATGTGAACGGTATAATGTTCTGTTATGGCTCAATAACTTCATTAAGAACACATATTGTATATTATACACAGTATTATACACAGTGTGACAAAGTTGTGTATATTCTGAAATTGTCAAATCAGTGGTGAGTTGTTGCTAACATCACTTCCATTGTGCATATGGAGCTGTGCAACAGGATCTCGGCCACTGTCTATTTCGAACGTCTGTTGTGCAATGAAGGGTGCTGCACAGTTGAGTGCTTTATTTCAATGGAGCTTGTTCCATAATTCTGCTGCTTTGTGTTTTTTAATCTTGTGCTGTCCTTGAAAGCAGGGTGGAATTTGCAACAGGTACAAAATGCAGTGGCCAGGCTGGTGTCAGGGATTTTGAGATATTATATCTCCCCAGTTCTGGCCTATTTGCATCGGTTGCCTGTATGCTTCTACCGTGTTCTCCGAAAATAAGATAAGGTCATGTATTAATTTTTTGCTTGAAAAATGCATTGGGGCTTATTTTCAGGTTAGGCCTTATTTTGGGGGAAATGGGATATGTCAAATTCAAGACATTGATATTGATATATAAGGCCCTTAACAATTTGGGACCCCATTACCTGTCAGAGTTACATCTCCCTTAGATTCTCTGACCATGGGTTGGGAAGTCTACAATCCAGGTAGCCAACTCAGAATAAATATATCATAATTTAGAATGCCTGGGTAACAGTGGAATGCTTGCCTCCATGTCGCTACTGTGCTAGTATAGTCATAGAGGAAAACTTTATTCTCATGCTTATTCTTTTGTTTCTCTGTTAAGGATAGTTTATAAAGTTTTCGTGAGAGCCAAGCTGTATATTTCTGATTTGTGACTTATTTCCCCTGTGTTTTGTTCACAGCAAAAACCTGGAGAAAAGCCCATCCCAGGTGAGAATTCAAATAGCATTTTTAAATTAAGACCAAATCCAGAGATCCTGCTGATGAGATTTTTCGGAAAAAGGACACTGACTAAATCCAATGTTGTAATGCTTACCATATATCTTTCCACGTATGGTGGAAAGATATATGGTATGGTGACCTCTTATCTCCTGCCATCCCTGTATGGTAACCTCTTATATGCTGCCATTTCTGTATAAACCTAGGTGCAAGAAACTCTAATGCTGTTGTAAGTGTGTGTGGGAACCTGAATGCAGATGTTGAAGTGGTTTCTGTGACTGGACAGTGTTGCATTGTTGTGGGTCATAGCATAATGCCTGACAACAGAAAAAAAGTTCTCATAGGTCAAGATGTCTCTGTATGCCCAGTTGGTGGAATTGGGCTGTTCCAGCAAAGATGGACTGAGATTGAATACATTTCAGATGTTTCTTGCTAGCAGTCAAAGGCAGCCATGTATAAAAGGCTATGTATGAACCTGAAAGTTAATTTGCAACACTGATAATTAGACATGTTCAACCATTTGATTTGGATTTCATGTTTTATTTTTCTAGTGGATCAGATCAAGAAGGAGTCAGAGCCAGCACCTGAAGCTATTAAACAAGAGGAGAAAGAGCCTGCCAAGATCACACAACAGAGCACTAGTGCTAAGGGGCCACCAGAGAAAAGGATGAGACTACAGTGACAAAAATTAAAATCACTATTTCTGACTCCTACGAAATTTGTAAAGAAGGGAATGTAAAGTTGTTTGGTCTTTGGAAAGTTTTTGGTAGACTGTGACATTTCACAGATTAAAAATGAATTAACTGTTTACACACTTGTTAGTTACAAATTAACAACACACAGGAAGGAAAGCCTTCCTACTCTGATGTTCAGTGCTGGATTACACACTATGAAACATTTTTGAAGCTTTTTCCAAAATACTGTTTTTCATGCCTTTTAAAAGGTTCCAAATTTGACTGAAAACCTGTCCCTTTGTTTCATAAAGCTTAAGGTGGTGGTACTTGATGACCTCCAGTGATATAACTGTACTTCTCCCAGTTAGACCCTAGAAAATGATGTAAAGACCTTGAGAACAGCAAGCAGTTTATTCCTTGATCATCATTGTTTTCTTTAGGTTTTCATTGCTGTGAGTGCTCTTGAAACAAGAGGGAAGTACAAAATGTGGGACTGTGTGAAGAAAGAAATAGATAGGTATAGACAGAAATCTATTCATAATTGCTTTATAATGCCTGTAAGTACAAAATGTGGGACTGTGTGAAGAAATAGATAGGTATAGACAGAAAGCTATTCATAATTGCTTTATAATGCCTGCATAACTGAAAGTTAAAATTTCAGATTTAATACACACTAAAAGTGGAACATCAGTCTCCTTAAAAGTTGAGTGCCTGGTGCTGTATACATTTTTTGTGCATTAACTTGTCACAGCAGTACAAAGGTATGTCTGTATCAGTTTTTTCTGAATTTACATTTTCATTGTCTTCCTGACATTAGGTAGTATTCAGTTAATTTTTCCACTGGCAGAATTGTCAGTACAATAGAAATCATGGATGGTTGTCTCTTTCTAATATTGCTGGGGAAGGGGGTTCTCTGGAGAAGTTTGCGGGGGCTATAGGAGACACAGGAAAAAGGCTTGTAGAGCAAGCAAAATATCCTTTGCTTCTAAACTAGACACTGGCTAAAGCAGAGATAATGGTGCTGCAATCTTGTTCAGAGGGAGAGATGGAAGAAGTGTGTATGGGGGTTGTATCGATATTAAAATACTGAAAAATGGGTAGTCGGCAACTAGTTGGTCATTTCAGTCAATCACAATAATCTTCCATAACGTTGGCTTTCTCCATTTGTCACTGTAATTCCCTGAAACTGGGAGAGAGAGATTCTGTATATACAGTATGTATAACAGTGTAGTTTACATTAGGTTGCAATAGGCAAAGATGCTTTATTTAGTTGTCACATCTGATAATGTTGGGCGGATAATGTGTCTGAACCTTAGTGGTAACTGTTACCACTTCAGAAATCTGGTTCATATGAAATTCGACATACAGTACGTGAGTTGCAAATGTTATCTTGATTAGGAAACAAGGGAGGAAAATATTTTCTGAATGTTTTCTGTTTGGTGGTTCCTCTTTCTTCTAAACACACTGATGGGTATTGATAGCTTGTATTTCTTCCACTTCACTATTCAAATCTGCATTGTATCAATGCAAAATAAATTATTTTAAGTATCTTATGTGAACTGCTTGCTTCCAAAGAAAATAAAGTTTACATTGAGATTGAAAAATATATTTAAACTATTAGTTTTTGTATGATGAAATTAAATAAGTGACTGTCTCAGATGAGATTTTAACAGTTTTGTTACTTCTATCATTTTAGAGTGCTACTTTGTTGTAAAGTTGAAATAGAAAATCCTCAGATAAAATAATACTGAGATAAAATATTTTGTACTGTGGATTTACATCTGCCTTACATGTACATGCACACAGGCAAAATGAAAAAGAGAAACTGTTTCAAATGTCATAAGTGAACTAGAACCAGGTATGACCAATACGTTTGTACATGACACCCATCATGTGTAAAAGCATTTCACTCATCACTCTTGGAACAGGATTACAGAAACACTTTTTAATCTGAACTGGCATGTATACTCTAATGTTGTACAGTAGAACCGCTTTATCTGTGGGATCAGTATCCACTTAATTATCCATGGTTTGAAAAGATTAAAAATATTAAAATAAATAGAAAGACTTTTGAAAATGGTGTCACATACAGTGGTGCCTTGCAAGACAAAAGTAATTCGTTCTGCGAGTTGCGCTGCCTTGCGAAATTTTCATCTTGTGAAAAGCGGTTTGAAATGCATTCCTATGGGAACCTTGCAAGACGAATGAATTATTTTTGTCTTGTGAAGCATTGGTCTTGCGAAAAACATTCGTCTTGCAAAGCATGGCCATTGAAGAGGCTGTCTTGCAAGGCACCACAGTGATCGCAAAAAACCATTTGTCTTGCAGGTTTTTCGTCCCGTTAGGCATTCGTCTTGTGAGGCACCACTGTAATCCATTTTCCAGTATCTGTAGGGGGATGTGAAACTGATCCCCTGTGGATGTGGGGGACCTACTGCATTCTCCATCCCTGCTTACAGTTTTAGTTTACTTATATAGAAACTATATATTAGTGGGTAAAGTTTGGTTGAGGCTAGGAAGAGCAGAAATTGGTAAGAGGGGGATGAATGTGAAGGCACCAAAGTATATGGTAAGGTTAAGTGTACTTCCATAAATCCTTTGTTAAATTAAACTGTAATTAAGTGACTTCCAATAAGACTCAAAAAGTGATTTCTGCAATATAGTCATTAGTAGAAACCCTTATAAAGTGGTTTATTATGCTAATTGAATGAAGTTTTGTGGCGCAGCGGTTAAACTGCAGCCAAGATTCTGCTCATGACCTGAGTTTGATCCTGAAGGATTTGGTTAGCCATCTTAAGGTTGACTTGGTGTTCCATCCTCCCAGGGTTGATAAATTTGAGTACCCAGGTTGGGGGGGGGATGTGTAGTGTTCATAATTAAACTAAACTGCCCAGAGAGCTTTAAGCACTACGGGATGGTATATAAGCAGTACACTTTGCTTTAAAGCTACAGAATATACAAATGCAATAATAGGTGATACCATTATAGACAAAACAACAACAAAAAAACCATACAGTCTGCTAGCTTTCATGGATGAGGACTTCCCACTTCATCAGGCTTGTACCGGTGTAAAGAATATAAATGTCCCAAAGGTTCATGACAAGATATTTCAATGGAACTATTTCAATGGGATTACGAAGATACCAAAACATATAATTATTCAATGGTAATATTAGAAGACCCAATAGAATATACCACTGACGTAGTAGAAAGTGTGTTCCCACAGTTTCAGTAAAAGGACTGGCTGCGGCCAGACTTCTGACTGGGGTGAGAAAATGTCAACACGTCTCCTCCACTCTGGCTACCCTGCAGTTTGATTCTGCATTGATTTCAAAGTATGGACGATGACATATGAAGCCCTAAATGGTTTAGGACCTCAATATATGGCGGAACATCTCCCACCTAGATCTACCCGTATTACTCGTTCTAGCCAGGAGGGGCGTTTGAGGGGCCTAATGCCAAGGGAGGCTCGGAGAGAAAGAACAAGAAACCGGGCCTTCTCAGCAGTGGCCTCTCGCCTCTGGAACAGTCTGCCCACAGAAATTTGCCTTCCTCCCTTATGTGTAGCCTGTATAATTAAAAATTGTAAACCGCCCGGAGAGCGCTTGTAGCGCTATGGGGCGGTATATAAGTCCAATAAATAAATAAATAAATAAATATTTCCTACACTTGTACACAGTGGGTGTGATCTTGCCCACCCAAAGATGTATCTTCCAAATCCATTGGGTTAGGATCCTTACTACAAACATACTTCCTCCTAAACCTATCATCCTCATTTCGCCAAATATTTGTAGAGTCCTTTATGCCTTGCCTTGAGCATTTTCTAGACAGTGCTGAGCTTCTCAGAAGGAAAAAAGGGCAGAAAAAAATCAAGCGTTTTTTAAAAAAAATCTATTTAAACCACTATTCGAATTAAAAATGATTTTTAAATTATTCAAATCATTTTTAAAAAATCTGTATTGATTATATAAATCGTGATTTAAATTAAATCCACCCTGGAAAAAAGAGCAATCCGTCCCATATGAAACAGCAACAAAAGCCTACAAATGTAGCTTGGTCATTCCTTGACAGGACATCTGGACAACTTGCACCCAAAAATCACTCACTAAAAGTCAGCTCAAAAAATTGTTTTGGCCCCAGCCCAGGTGGCTTCGACCAGGAGAAAAGAGGCGACGACCGACACTCTTGGGGGTGGCGGGAGGCGAGGAAGATCGTCGCGGTCTGTCGGGCGTTGCACCTTTTGGGGTGGCAGAACGAACCCCTCGACCCCTCAGCTCAGGTGCTGTGAGAGAGAGAGTGGGGAGCGAGCCCGGACGGTTTGCCTGAAAGGAGCTGGAAACGGGCGGGAGCTGCCATGTCTTCCTTTTTAACCCCTGAAAGTCCCGTGCCTTCAACCACCATACCAGGGGCCGGTGAAGGAAAAAAAAGTCGGGAACCGTCCCTGGTCGGCAGAGCGTGTTTGCTTTCCGCGCCAACAGGTCGAGGCGGGACCGAGGGAGGGGGGAGAAATCGCCTCCCCTTCCTCAACCCTCCTCGCTTTCCCTCAGGGGACCCATCATGGCTCTCGCTCGCTCTCTCGCTGCCTCCCTCTTCTTTCCCGCCTTTCGCGCTCTCTCTCCGGGCGCGCTGCTCCCGCTCCCCCCTCCCTTCTGGCGGCTCAGTTCCACGGGAGAAGAGCCGGTTGCTGTAGAGAGCCACGCAGGGGGAACTCCATGGCTGCCCTCCATCTCGGAGCCGTGGTGGTGGCGGCGCCGGCGAAGCCGCCTCCTGCTTGGTGGCTCTCTTGTGCCGCCTCCTGCTTGGTGGCTCTCGGGGCTGCCGGCCGCCGACCCCATTTCCCGGCCCTAGTCAGGAGCGATGGGGTTGGGCCGGGCTGGAAGGGGGCTGCTCTGGCTAGTGGTGGCCTCGGGAGTATTCTGGGGCCAGGCCTCCTGTCAGGCGCCGCCTCAGGGCTTTCGCTTCGTCTCCTACGAGGTGATCATCCCGAGAAGGATGGCGCCGCGACGCGGGCGGGAACCCCAGGACCTGACTTACCTCCTGGAGGTCGAGGGGAAGGGCCTCGTGGTGCACCTGAGGCAGAAAAGGGGCTTTATCCGCAAGCACTTCCCAGTCTTCACCTACAGCGAGGAAGGGGACCTTCAGGTGGACTTTCCTTTCCTCGGGGATGATTGCTTCTACCATGGCTTTGTACAGGGCAAGCCCTCCTCTCTGATCGCCCTCAGCACTTGCTCAGGGGGGCTCAGGGGCCTCCTACAGGTGGACAGTAAAATGTATGAAATTCAACCTGTCCAGGCATCCCATACCTTTCAGCATGTGGTGTATCGGTTGGAAGGCGAGGAGGGAGCAGTCCACAGGAGGTGTGGGCTCACGGAAGAAAGACAAAATAGTCAAGAGGCTATGACCCAGGGCACAGAGAATGTCCTGGGTAAAAATTATCCAGGGAGGCCCTGGCAGACACACACCAGGTATGTGAAGATTGCGCTTGTGATGGACCATGAACGTTATGTCCAGTTTGGCAGAAATGAAACTCTGGCTGCGAGACAAGTGCTGGATGCCATCCATATTGCAGATTCACTCTTTGAGCCTCTTGGGATTCGTGTGGCTGTGGTTGGCCTGGAGATATGGTCTCAAAAGAACCTTATACCAATATCTAAACATATAGCTGAACTGCTTGACATGTTCAATACATGGAGAAAAATAAGTCTTATCCAGCATCTAAGGCATGATGTTGGCCATTTGTTCGTATATAAGCATTTTGGAGTTGATGTTGGATTATCATTTGTAGGAACAGTGTGCGATTCTTCCCGGGCATCTGCTGTAGAGGCATTTACTACCTCCAGTTTGTTCTCATTCACTCTTACCTTTGCTCATCAGTTAGGTCATAACCTAGGCATGCGGCATGATGAGAAGTACTGTACTTGTAGCCAGCGTTCTTGCATTATGGCTCCGTTGCAAAGCAACACAAGTAAATTCAGCAACTGTAGTTATAATAGTTATTCTAACCTAATGGATAGTGGTAGGAAACAATGTCTGTTAATTCCACCAGAACATGAGAAATTGTATGACTTCAAAAACTGTGGCAACAGTATAGTAGAGAGCGGAGAACAGTGCGACTGTGGTTCAAAATTTCATTGTGAATTAGATGCATGTTGCCAGTCTAATTGTATGTTGCGATCAGGAGCAACATGTGCTTTTGGAGCATGCTGTGCCAATTGCCAATTTCTTCCAGCTGGAACAGTTTGTAGAGAAAGGACAAATATCTGTGATCTTCCTGAATACTGCACTGGGATTACAGAATGGTGTCCTGAGGATGTCAGTGTTCAAGATGGCGCTCCATGCCATGATGGCGCCTATTGTTATCATGGGAAGTGCTCTACTCACAATGAACAGTGCAAAACAATCTTTGGCAGGCAAGCAGCAGTTGCTCCATTAAGTTGCTTCAAAGAAATAAACACTCGAGGTGACCGTTTTGGCAACTGTGGCATTCTTGGTAACGTTTACCAAAAATGTGAAAACAGTGACGTCTTGTGTGGCAGAATCCAGTGTGTAAACATTGAGGAAGTTCCTAATTTGAATGAGCATAATACTGTAATTCAGACTTCTCTTAGCAGCAACGTGTGCTGGGGCATAAACTACCCAAGTGGAGTGAGCATAGCTGACACAGGAGCAGTGCAAGATGGCACCCATTGTGGTAGCGGCATGGTATGTATTAACAGGGACTGCGTAAAAGTATCCCTTCTGAACTATGACTGTAATCAGACAAAGTGCCACAACAGAGGAATTTGCAATTCTCATAAAAACTGCCATTGTAACTATGGGTGGGCTCCTCCATATTGTCTAAATGAAGGCTATGGTGGCAGCATTGACAGTGGACCCCCTTCACCCAACAGTGGCAATACAGGAGTGAGTGAAGGTGTTATAATAGTTCTTTCTGCTGTTATTGTTTTTCTTGAAGCTGAGGTAAGCAATAACATTTTATAAGGAACTTGGGAATTGCTGAAGTTGCTCCACTTTGTATCAGATGACAAACTAATTAGTTGTCATCAGGGGATAACCCCAAAAGTGTCTGATTTGATGTTATAGATTATTCTAAGGTGGTAAGCATATTAAGGCTACACGTTCAATATGCTATACTGCAAATAAATTTTTTTGTGCAATGTAAGATAAATTTAACCTCTTAAGAATTTTATTTAAAAGGCAGTTACTGAATAGAATTAGATTCCGGTGCTTATCAGTTAATGTCAATATATAGCAGCACCCAGATAGCAATGCTTGATAATACCTTCACACTTGACACTCTGTACATAAACATAGCACTCTGTAGTGGACGAGTGTCACTCAGTCAAATAAGTTGAGTCTGGGTATTACAGTTCATGTGGAGGCAATGCAAAAAAAAAAGTCAGGGAAATTGCTGGTCAAAGAAACAGAAAAAAGTTCAACAGTTTTCCATTACTCTAATTGGCACTTGTGTATTTTCTGTTTATAAATGCTTTCTGAATGAAAGAACCAAGTTTTTTGTTCTTGTTGAAAGTTAAGCATTTTCATCTTTTCATCATACATTTTCAGCATATACTGGATATTTCGTGAAATTACTTCCAAGGGTTCTTGCACTCAGTAATGTGTCATTGGAACTGAACACTATAAAGAATTTGTGCAAAGAACAAAGATGAATTTTTGGCTAGATCTATTTCATAGTTATATCTTCAAGCCAATAATGTGTACAACCCATTCTGGTAAAATATTTGCACATTTACAAATTTAGAAAATGCTCCCAAATATTTTTTGTTGGAGACAAAATTTGCTCAGGACCTGACTTTTATAAGCTGTAAAGCAAAGAGGACTGGAAAATTAGAAAACATTTAAGTAGCTTAAGAATGCCAACCAGAGACAAAGTTAGAGGATGCATCTACATAGAACAGGGTGGATTTGATTTAAATCACAATTTAAAATTTTAAAACTCTGATTTTGGATCAAAACTCAAAAAAAAATTCTTATTTAAACTGTGATTTAAATTAATTTGATTTTTTTAAAAATCATTGATTTTTATCTACCTTGATGTAGAATAATTAAGAGTCTTTTAGCTACAATAACGGCAGAACAACTGGCTTCCTCAGGCATTTGTAATTTCATTAGGAAAAGGATTAAACATCTTAAAACTAGCATATTCATGATATTTTCAGTCAATATTTCTGTTGTTATAGTTGACAAAAGTTTTTAGCAGAGGGCTAGATCAGAAGAGCAAATTCTGCATAGAATCATAGCATAAATATTCTAACCATACATTGATCCTGCTGGACAGACTAGTCTTTATTAAACCTATACAAATATATTTCTTTTCTAGTGCAATTTTATATGTTTCCATGTATAATTCCTGGGGTAGCGACAAAATGTTTTGTGATTATACCAGTACTCCCATTGTCTTCAATGGTACTTAATCATGTGTAAGTGGAAATTGCAGCATCCATTGGTGGAAATTAAAGCTTGAAAAAAATTAGTCTTTGAGCTACAACTCTTAGAATTCCTCAGCTGCTGGCCAGGGGATTTGGGGAGTTTTAGTCCAAAAGCTAACTTCTGAGCTCTGGATAAGACAACTGACATTACTGCTATAAACACAACTCCAGTATGTTACATCTATTCATAGAGTCTCCAGCAAGTATAGTTATAAACAGTCTGTTGTGACTTGCAAAAACAAACACTCCCAATTCAGTCAGATTTCTTGTGTGCTTTTTGCAGGACATAAATATACTTAACTCTGTTGGTTTGTGGAATGTATGCTATAACAGTAATGTTCCTTGAATAACTAAACATTTCTGATAGGAAAATGACCTTAATGGGTCTTTGTGGGCAAACGCTGTGCTAAAACTGATCTAATTTAAAATCTCCATTTACAGGTTTGCTGATGTGACTTACTTATAGCCTGCCTTGCATTCTAATCTAACCTGAAGTATTCTTTGTTGAATTTCCTCATTATCCATACATCAGGACTGCATTATTTAGTATGCACTTGGGTTTCCTTTAAAAACTGATTTGCTGGCTGTTCTGGATAGTGATAATAATCTGTTTAAAACAGATTTTGTTTTTGTTTTTTTAAAGAAATTGCATATACATTGTACTTATTACATTGTATAATATGGTAACTAATTTAGAATGTGATTTACAAATGTACAACCATGAAAACAATTACTTAGACATGATTTCAGAGTGCTTAATAAAAGTTTATTTATTCCTTTATAAGTATAGTTAAGGTTACTGCAGCCTGATCTCTTGGTAGTAGCAGTTTTCTCGTCAAATTCCGAGCATGTCTTACTCAGTAAATAGATCTTATCAGGAGATTATCAAATTGGTATTTTTATTTTATGAACAGTTTTAAAAATGCAAATCAGTCTCCAGGAGGGTATACTGCTTACTAGTGATTTGAGGGTAGAGGTTTTTTTGGTTTTTTGGATTTTTTAACAATTAAGGTATAATGCAGAAATATGATTATAATTCTGTGAACTACATAAATTATACAGTTAAATATATTTAATAGTAATAGTAATCCTAAACATGTATATATTGCTGTCAAATAGTCCAACCTCATATGTATTATAAAGATGTAATTTTTGTGATGATCCTGCAGGTGTGGACACCTCTTTCCCTAACTGCTGAAGTATGTGTGTGTGTGTCTGTATATGTGTGTAAATAAGTGTTTGATTTAGAAATGTGATAAACTCTATTCTGAACAGACCACTAACATCCTGTGGAGTGTCTTTTATTTAGAGTTCCTGTGATAAAGTTTTGAATAGTGACATATTACATTTTTATCTTCCAGTTTGTTGTTACTCTGTGCTCCTCTAGGCAAGATACAGCCTGGGAAACATGAGTGTAGAGTATATGGTGCAAACATAAACCACTGATGTCTGCTGAAAAAAATGTTGCTTCTTTAAAATGAGAATAGTCTTTAAAATTGGAATGACAAGAAACTTATTAGTTTCTCCAGTGCACAGACAGAGTTCTGACTCCTGTCCTCTGAAGATGCTGGCCAGAGACTGGTGAAATGAAGAACAACCTTCAGAACATGGCCAAAAAGCCTGGAAAACCCACAACAACCAAACTTATTGGTGTTTCCATAAGGTTTGCCAAAGTTGCTGCAGCTTATTGCAGCAAATTGATGAGATGCCAGAGCAACTCTTGGTTTGGCATTTGGCATGTGACTAGGCACATGGGTCAGACATGCCCCAGAACCCCATCAATTAGCTATAGCAATTTACAGAAACCTTATATGAGCAACAGTAGGACTCCAGCTAATGTTCTGGAAGAATGTTGGTGTGTGTGTGTGCAGAAGATATTCATATTCATATACATATATGATTACATGCTTAGAGAGATAATGCCAGCACAAGTTCTGTTTGAACATATGTGCAAATGTTCATGCATCATTGTGCATTTCTGATTATATTTTAAAAGAAGGGAGAATGAAGAAAAATTGAAAAATGGTAGAAACTGAGGGTGTGGCATGCCTACCTTATTTGCACATAAAACTGAAAAAATTTAAAAACACTAACATACGTAGTACAGTTGCAAATGCAGGAATCTCCATGAATTCTAAATCCACTTTGGAAAAAACACTGGCTGCATCTGCTTTTTTAAGAGTATGTAGAAACTCCCAGTGATGAGAATCTTATGAGATCACCTGCTTGCTCCAAGTTGAGGGAAATAGTGTGCTTCAAATTGGAGAGGAGCTTTGTTCTAACAGGACTTATGCTGATCTGTTCCATTCTTGGCCCATAAGCTATGCCCTCATTCCAAAGGCAACTTCACTGACTGTTGCTATGTAGAGAATCCTTTCATTTTCCTAATCAATGTGCAGAATTTTTGTCATCTTGCTTCTAGCCTGTCAGTAGCAGCAAGATCCTTTCTGTTCAAAGATGAAAGGTCACAAGATGGACTTCAGGGGATTCCCTCCTGTGTTGGAGAAAATTATTAGCAATTCTGTCTTTCTGTTAGTGATGATCTTGAATCATGGCTTGAATGAAGTTGCTGGTCAGTCACCACCTCGGGGCCTCAAATATGCTTATGAGGTGATGATCCCATGGAAATTGACTCCAGGATATGGACAAAAAGAACCATTGCATGTGACATATATTTTGCAAATTGAAGGGAAAAGCCATGTGGTGCATCTCAGGCAGAAGAGGGACTTTGTTTCCACTTTCCAGTATTCACTTATAGTAAGAAGGGGAAGTTCCAAGTGGACTATCCTTTCATCATGGATGACTGTTTCTTTCATGGCTTTATACAAGGCAAGGCCTCCTCTCTGGTCACTCAGTACTTGCTCAGGGGGACTCAAAGGTGTCTTACAATTAGATAATAAAACTTATGAAATTGTACCTGTACAGGCATCTGCTACCTTTCAACTTGTGACATATTGACCAGAAAAAAAAGGGCGTTTGTCCACATGAGTTGTGGTCTAACAAGAGGACAAATCAAGTTGTCATGATGCAAGACACGAACGTAGCAGTTAAAAGTGCTTCTGGAGGAGGCTGGTAGACATATTGAAGATATGCAAAAATTGACATAGTGGTGGAACATGAACAATATGTGAGGTTGACAAAAAATGAAACATTGCTATGCATGTTCTGAATCTCATCCATATTGTAAATTCACTTTATAAGTCACTTGGTCTATAAGTTGCCATAGCTGGAATAGAGATATAATCAGAAAAGAACTTCATAGCAATTACTGATCTCTTTGAATCAACACTTACGACTTCAGTCACTGTGAAAAATACACTCATACCACATGTAGGCCACATATTTCTATACAAATCATTTGGGAGTGCTCTTGGATTATCTTTTATTGGAAGGGTGTGTGATCCTGAATGTGCATCTGGAATTGAATCATACACCAATCCTGATTTGTTCTCCTTTGCTGTCATTTTTGCTCATGAATTGGGTCACACCCTTGGCATGGTCCATGATACAAGCTACTGCACTTGTGATGTGCCACACTGTATAATGGCCAAGAGTCATGGTCATTCCAATACGTTTAGCAATTGCAGCTATGCTATCTATTGCAGCATAGCAATTAGAGTAGCAATGTTGGGTAATGCAGAATGTTTGAAAATACCTCCAGACACATGTACATATCCAAATACTATGGCAACAAGGTGGTAGAAAGTGAAGAACCATGTGACTGTGGCTTTAAATCTGAGTGTCAATCAGATACATGTAAATATAATTGTATGTTGAGGTCAGGAGCCATTTGTGCTTTGGAGCATCCTGTTACAGCTGTCAGTTTCTTCCAGCAGGAAAAGTATGTAGAAAAAAGGCTGACATTTGTGATCTCCCTGAATTTTGTAATGGGACTTCAGAGTGGTGTCCTGAGGATGTTTATGTGCAAAATGGTGCCCCATGCAGAGACCATCTATATTGTTATAATGGGAATTGTGCTGCACACAACAAACAGTGCAACATGATACTTGAAAAGAAAGCAACCAAAGCTTCAGACAATTGCTTCAAAGAAGTGAATGTCTGTGGTGATCATTTTGGCGATTGTGGCATTAATAGCAACAGTGGCACACCTTATAAGGAATGTAAAGCTGACAGTGTGTTGTGTGGCAGAGTCCAGTGTGAAAATGTTGATACTTTAACTTCTTTGGAGGAGCATAGCACCATCATTTGAACAACAATTGACAACAAGAAGTGCTGGGGCACAGACTACCACACTGGGCTGGAGATAGCCAATATTGGAGCTGTGAGAGAGATGGCATTCCTTGTGGCAGGGATATGATGCACCTCAATGGGCAATGTGCCAACTTGTCCTTATTGAAATATGATTGTAATGTCACAAAGTGCCATAATTGGGGAATATGTAACAACCACAAACATTGCTATTGCAATTGTGGTTGGGGCCCTCCTGACTGAAGAGTATGGTGGCAGTATTGAATTTATGGAGTCCCCTTTTACAGTACTGTATATATGAATTTATGGAGTCCCCTTTTAAAGCCATCCAGGGCAGCAGTAATCACTATGTGTTGTGTGAAGAAGTGCTTCAGTTCATCTCTCCAGCATCTCCGATCATTCAATTTCAGTGTATGACCCCATATTCCAGCACTATGAGAGAAGGACGCTTAATTTTATATACCTCTATCTTGTCTTCCTTTACCTGACTTTTTTCTAAACTACTGTAAATAGCCCCAAATGTTTTAATCTTTCTTCATAAGGGAGTTGCTGCAATCCAATCCGTTCACCATTTTAGTTGCTGTTTCCTGTACCGTCTTCAGCTGTACAATATATTTTAATAGTGACCAGAACTCCATGCAGTATTCCAGATGTGATCATACTGGGTTTATATAAGAATAATATATTGTCGGTTTCATTTTAAATTCTTTTTCTAATTATGCCTATAATGGAATTTACTTTTTGCCCCCATCAACAGCAATTTGGGTTTTCAGTGAGCTACCCCAAGATCTCTTTCTTGGTCTGTCATTGTCAACTCATAATCCAACAATTGTATGTGTACTTTAAAAAACAACACCAAATATGCATCACTTTAGGTTTGTCTACTTTGAATTCCATTTGACATCCCAGGATCTTTCAGATTATATTCTTGTTCTCACCATTTTAAACAGTTTAATGACACCAGCAAAGCTGACCACCTCACCCCTAATTCATGGTCATTTATAAACACGGTTAAAAGCACAGGTTCTAATACAAATTCAGAGGGAGCCTATAAGTCACAAGTTATTCCTGTTCTCTGCTTTTGACTATTTAGATAGTCTCCAATCCATAGAGGACTCAGAATCACAGAACAACAGAAATGTAGAGTCATCTAGTTCAATCTAAGAGTCATTTAGTTCAACCTAATCAATGCAAGAAATCCAAAGCTTAAAACCTCCCTGACATATGATATCCGAATTTTAAAAAATCCTAATGAACAAGAGTCCCCCACCTCCACAGGTGGCCCCTTCCACTACTGAATGGTTCTTCCTGTCAGTGATTTCTTTCCAACAGTTAATCAATCTCCTTTTTTGTAATTTTGTAAACTTTACAATTTGAAGCTATTGGGTTGGGTCATATTCTCTAGAGCTGCGAAATACAAATTTCCTCTTATTTGACATGGCACCTCTTCAAATATCTAAGCTAAACATACCTGACAGCCTCAGAAGTTCCTAATAGGGCCTTGGCTTCTAGACTCTTTGCTATTTTGGTCACCCTCCTCTGAATCAAGCTGATATAAAACTATTATTGCTGTCTTTTATACATTCTTCTTTAGGTCTCCCTTTGTAATTTAAAAAAAAATCAATAAAATAAATAAAACAGTGATAATGTGCTTGATCTTTTTTTGTTGTCTGATGATTTCCTGACAAATACTGGTCTCTGTGACTTATAGGGCTTATGCCTGTGCAAAGTCTCTGTCTGGAACCTTCTAGATTTGAAGGTTCAGCACCCCCTCCCAATATGCATAACTACTCTGTTTCCCCGAATATATGACCTAACTTGAAAATAAGCCCTAGCATGATTTTTCAGGATGTTCATAAAATAAGCCCTACCCCAAAAATCAGTTAAGTGAAACCCCGCCCTCCACCAATGTGCAACATTGCTCCCCTTCTGGACACGTGGGTGCTTGGGGGCGGGGGCTTATTTATTTATTTATTTTTGGCCATTTGATTCTCACACACCAACATTTATCGTATGAAACCCTTTCACCAACCATCAACCTTTTGGGTACTATCCATCAATTGACAGTATCTCTCCATTGTCTTCCATCGTTTATTCTCCAAGCTCCGCCTCCATTCCAAAGGAAACCCCATTGACAGTTACTATGCTCGGAATCCTCCTCTTTCTCAGGTGCTCATGCAGCTGCCTTCCAACCTTCTTTCAAGAACAGCAGCAGCTGCAAGAGGCTCCCTGTCATACCCAGTAAGACAGAATATACTGCTGTACTTCTCTCCCAGGAAAAAGATGAACAGTTATACCAGTCTGCTAGTGCTGATCTTACGGAATGTCCTGAGTGAAACAGCACAAGAGAAGCCACCACAGGGTTTTAGGTATGCTTCATATGAGGTTACCATTCCAAGAAAAGTAATGCCCAGATATGGAGAAAAAGAATATCTAGATACCACCTATTTTTTGCAAATAGAAGGGAAGGGTCACATCGTGCGTCTCAGGAAGAAGAGTTTTTTTCCTAAAAACATTCCTGTCTTTACCTACACTAAAAAGGGGCACCTTCAGGTAGACTATCCATTTATTAGGAGTGACTGTTTTTACCAGGGATTTGTGGAGGGAAAGCCCTCCTCTCTGGTCACCCTCAACATTTGTTTAGGGGGTCTTAGGGGTCTTTTGAGATTAGAAAATAAGACTTATGAAATTGAACCTATCCAAGCATCTCCTACCTTTCAACATGTGGTGTATCAATTGGAAGAAGAAGAAGGTGACATCCCTATGAAGTGTGGGCTAACGGAGGAAATGCAAAATTATCAAAAAGCCATGATTCAGAATGCATGGAATCGAGAGGCAAAAAGTACTCCTGAAAAAGACTGGTGGACACACACAAGGTATGTGAAAGTTTCAGTCGTGGTGGAACATGAACGATATGTGAAGTTCAACAGAAACAAAACTCTAACTGCTATACAAGTTCTGAATATCATCCACACCGCAAATTCATTCTATGAGCCGCTTTCTGTTCAAATATCTTTGGCTGGACTGGAGATCTGGTCAGAAGTGAATCTCATAGATATTACCAACAACATAATGGAAACACTTGGTTCTTTCAATAGATGGAGGGCAAAGACATTAAATAAACGTCTGGCGAGCGATGTTGGCCACTTGTTTGCATATAAATCTTATGGAACTACACTGGGATTAGCAGGTATAGGAACAGTTTGTAACTTGGATTATGGAGGTGCTGTTGTATCTTATATGACTTCCAGTTTGTTCTTCATTTCTAACACTTTTGCTCATGAATTAGGACATAATCTTGGCATGTTTCATGATGGTCAGTATTGTACCTGTGATCGATATGCCTGCGTGATGGCTGCATTTCAAGCAAACACTGATAAATTTAGCAATTGCAGTTATAGAGATTATTTCAAACTAAGGAACTCTCATTGCTTGTTAATTCCACCAAACCCGAAGAAAATGTATAAGGTAAAATACTGTGGCAACAAAATAGTGGAGAATGGAGAGCAATGTGACTGTGGGTCAGAATCCCAGTGCAAGTTGGATCCATGTTGCCAGTCTGATTGTAAGTTACGTTCTGGTGCCACCTGTGCTTTTGGCCAATGCTGCTCCAAGTGTCAATATCTTCCAGCTCACTCCATTTGCAGAGAAAACATTAGCATCTGTGATCTTCCAGAGTATTGCAATGGGTCTTCAGAGAGATGTCCTGAAGATGTTCATGTTCAAGATGGTGCCCCATGCAATGATGGTGCACATTGCTATCATGGGAACTGTACTACTCACAACAGCCAGTGCAAAATGATATTTGGCCCCAAAGCCACCACCGCTTCAGAAGATTGCTTCAGAGAGATGAATGCTCAAGGTGATCGCTTTGGTAACTGTGGCCTCGAATATGGAATTTACAAGAAATGCCATGCTCAGAATATCCTGTGCGGCCGGCTCCAGTGTGAACATATTGATAATTTGCCCTCTTTAGAGGAGCACAGTACTATAGTTCAGTCACAGATTGGCAGTAGTCAATGCTGGGGTACAGACTATCATAGCGGAGTAGAGATACCTGATATTGGAGCAGTGATCGATGGCACTCCTTGTGGAAAAGACAGGATGTGTATTAATGGAGAGTGTGTGAATGTATCCTTTTTGAAGTATGACTGTAATCTCACAAAGTGCTCTAATCGGGGAATATGCAACACCCACAAACATTGCCATTGTGACTGTGGGTGGGCCCCTCCTGACTGTTTCGACAAAGGGTATGGTGGCAGCATTGACAGTGGACCCCCTCCACCACGGAAATGTGATATGAATGTTGCCAACACAGAAAGATATGCCAAAATAGCAATCGGATCGGTCCTTTCTGCTGCTGCTGCTTTTGGTGTTGGCCTGGCTTTATTTTCCAGGAAGAAACTGACTAGAAGACTGCAGGAAACATTTCATCCAGCAGAGGCTCAAAAGGAAGGAAGTGCCCAGGAGGCCACAGATCTGAACAATGTACAGATGTGAACAGTCAGTGCACAAAATATGCGTGCAGGAAATAATGGAGTATATCATGCAAACATGCATTTGGGTGTGCAAAATTAGAATATTGTCTTTGAAGCTATTTTTTAAATGACATTTAAGGTAAAGGTTTATGAAGAACTAGATTCATGAACAGAGAAGAAACATTCTACTGTATGCTGCCTCCTACAGCTTACACAGTTATATTTTCCTGTTCTCCGTTAGGGGAAGGTAAAAGTGTTCTTAAATGGTGGAATACACACTCAGACAAAAGGCCTGGTTTCCATAAAAAAACTGTTGGGTTGTTTTGTAACTCATGTCCCATCCACAAGTTATGAAGGCTAGAGCAACTATAACTCTGATATGAATGAGAAGATCTGCTATAGCTGTTCTTCTGGGCTACCCTAATCACTCCGTGGCAAAAAGGCAATAGGAACAAACAGATTAGATTCATAATGACAAAATGCACAATAAACTGTAAATGTATGAATTCTGATTTTAAAATTCAAAAGACAGGGTCGAAACACTGGAAGTACAAATACTAAAATACTGCACATGTGGAACACATGAAATCTCTAACCCTATTGAAATTACAGTATGATTAGGATGAGCTAAATTACTCAAAGCTCATCATTAGCATTTAAGAAGGGTGTATCTATTTAATCTGAAACTCATGAAGGATGGAGTAAGAGTGTCTAATCTCTCTTGCTTTTGTTGGCTTGGCTTGTTTGGGGGACAGGATGGGGATCTGCGCTGTCACTAAAAGGCTCACTTCTTGATGGAGAGGCTGATTCTAATCTCCATCTCATTTGTAAATCAACTATTGTTGGCACTGATTCTTTGTTTTTGTTTTTAAAGGGTTTTGACATTTTGGAAAGAATTAGAATTACTTTTAGTAGCTTCCTATATCAGCCTTTGATGAAGGAAGTTCCATTATCTTATTTAGAAATCTACCTGTCTTTGAAATTACCTCTTTGAAAACCATGGGAGACACCCTTTAAAAATGGTCCTCTGTGATTCGCTGTGTTGGATTCTGTTTTTGTATGTTTCTTAGTGGATTAGCATTTAACCCTGAAACCTTTCCAGCCAATAAACTCCTGTTACCTGAACCTGGCTATTTGAGGTGAATTAGCTTGTCTGGTTGTGAACTTTTAAAAAAGGGGCTTTAGGAATGGGTGCGTTGCTTGTTCTCCCAACTCAAGTGTCCCGTGCTTATGTTGGGGGAGAAGGTAGGAATAGACATGGGAGATACAGAGGAAGGAAAAGGACAGAGAAGAGAGTGGAGAACAGCAGATGGAGCTCAGTGGTGTTAAGAGGCAATGTTGATCATGGCTCCCCCTCATGTGGACAGAAGCACTGAGACAAAAGACGTCATTTGGAAAGTTATGATTTCCATAAATTGCTCTTAACAAAAAGAGAGAAAACAACATGCTTACTTTCTACTATTTGCAAGAGTCCTCAGATGCAGTACTCTTGGCATAATCAGCTGTGGTTGCTGGAGGAAACTGAAGGAGTAGCCTCACATTCCAAAAGCCAATCTCTCAATTTCAGAAGATAAGGAGGAAGAAGAGAAGAGAGCACAACTGCAGAGATCATGCATGGTTCACTGTCTTAATTAATATGATTATCTTCTGGTACTGTCAACTGCTCTTTCACACTAAGAACAGCTATTACAATCTTTATCATCAGACTGCCTGCAGCAACAAAGCACTCACCATATGTAGAAGCAAGTTGTCATGAGCTTTGTATTAGAGTCCGCATCATTTGGAGACATATTAGTTGATTTTAAGAAGGAGGTGCTTTGGAGAGAATTTTACTCAGCATTAATCATAGAGGACAGACCTTTTATATTAGGAGAATATAAAAGGTCTGCCTCTGGAGCCAGACCATGTCTTAAGGAAGTTGGTGTAGCTTTTTCCTCATACCCTGAGGAGCAAGGATTTCATTGTGGAACATGTGATAAAGCCAAGTCTCCTTCAATATGAAAAAATCAAGGATGGGTCCCTCAAATACCAGTAACTTCCCCAGAGAAGGGAAGGAGGAATAGATGCTATAACTACTGTAGTAACTAGCCCCTCCCCCCATGAACTGCAGTTCCTGGTTGTGGAAACTTCTGAATTGCTTTGTCCTTATGACTAAATACTGTACAGCCTTGAACTTCACTTGTCTTCATAGTGGAGCTGCTGTAGCTAATACTCCCCTCCCAGTGTTAGTGCAGAGGGGGACCAAAATAGAAAGCAGCCAGGTACAGTGAGTTAGTGAAGAATGACGGTGTGGATGCCTCCCCATAGTTTGCTTGTCTTATTCTTGTTTTTTCTGCTTCTTATTTTTTACTTTTAAAAATGTTATACCATGCCATTCACTTGGAAGTGCCACATGATCTGAAAACTCTTCAGGACTATCACCTTCTCAGATGATTCAGGACTAGCACCTGATTCCCCCACATTAAAATCACAGTGCTTTGCTTTGGAATGTCCTCCCACCCAGCCGGAACATCACAGCCCAATTATTTACACCGCCAAAACATCACCTACAGAACCACCCCCCACATCTTTACAGAAACGTATTACAACTAACCACGTTGGGAAAAGACCCTTTGAATTGTTGAGTTGTTCCAGCTTGAAAAAGTGGAAGCTCCTCCTCAGCAACAGAGGAATAAAGCCAAGTTAGGAGCTGAAAGAACTGGAACAATTTGAATCAACCTTTGCATCATTGGGATGTGGTGGCACTGTGGGTTAAATTGCAGAAGCCTCTGTGCTGCAAGGTCAGAAGACCTGCAATCATAAGATCGAATCTACGCGATGGAGTGAGCTCCCGTCGCTTGTCCCAGCTCCTGCCAACCTAGCAGTTTGAAGGGATGCAAATGTAAGTAGATAAATAGGTACCATCTTGGTGGGAAGGTAACAGCATTTCGTGTCTAGTCACGCTGGCCATGTGACCACGGAAGATTGTCTTTGACAAATGTTGGCTCAATGGCTTGGAAATGGGGATGAGCACCGTGCCCTAGAGTTGGACATGACTGGACAAATTGTCAAGGGGAACTTTTACCTTTACCTTTGCATCATGTGTTCCATTAAAAAATACCTTGCAAATTCACCATTTTATAAGCAAAGCAAATCCTGCAATGGTTGTTGTGGGTTTTTCAGGCTCTTTGGCCGTGTTCTGAAGGTTGTTCTTCCTAACGTTTTGCCAGTCTCTGTGGCCAGCATCTTCAGAGGACAGCACTCTGCAAATCCTGCGATATTTGACAAAATAGTCGCACTCTCACCTCTCGGCAAAAGGGTATATTAGGACTGCAGTTTTACACAGGAATAAGTGTCATTGAATTCAGTTGGGCTTCCTTTTGAGCACACTGACAGGCACAATCAGTAGCAGACACAGTATCCAGAAACATTCTCTTTTTGGGTAGACTATGCTTAAGTGCCCAAAACACTTGCACTGTGTGAGTGTAATTAGAAAGATACCATACATTCAATTGTGGGTTTTCTAGGTGTATGGTTAAAAATGCAGGTGGGAGGGAGAAGAAAAAAATTGCAAACACTGTGAAAATCAGCAAAGTCCCTGAAATAATTGTTATCTCTCTGTCTGTATCTCTGGTCTCTGGGCCCATAACCTGTTGCAGAGTTTTGAATTTCTGGTAAAATTCTCTTTTTGCTACACAGGAGAAGTACAGAGATCCAGAGAGGAGAATAATTACAGGTTCTCCAGAGTCTATTCCTTTCTCATTAAACTTAAGGTGTCAATAACTCACTCTGAGACATTTGTAGGAGAAAGAATTTTTAAAAGTAAAATTTTTTTAAATTAATAGTTGCTTGCAATTGCAGGTTTGTGTGTACCACTTTCTTTACTGCACACATGGTAGCTACCAGCCAAACAAATAAGCAGCAATAAACAACTGTCACCAGCTAACAAAAGAGAGGGACAGAACACTCAGCAGAGAGGTGGGACTCTTTTTGAATTAAAAGGTTGGAAGCACTGATTGGTTAGTGCTGAATAGACAGAGAATCAACACAATATAAATTGAAAAATAGGTTCTTTGCTGCTGCCATTGCATCTGCACAAAGTTGTCCAACTGAGTTGTTTTGAGTGGTCAGGGATTTCGTAACGTCCTACCAAAAGAACAAAATATTGACCACTCCACAACCTGCTGTGAGGAATTTGCACAACACTTTGTAAATTAGGTTGCTCAGATTCGCTCTGACTTGGATGCTGCAATTGATACAGACCCAGTGGATGTAACTCTGGCCCCAGCTTGTCCTGTTTTAATGGATACTTTTCAGTTGGTGCAGCCTGATGATATGGACAGGATTCTTGGAGAGGTGAATGCCACCACATGTGTGCTGGAGCCTTGCCCTTCCTGGCTCATAAAAGGAGCCAGAGGAGGAATGGCCGATTGGGTACGGGGAGTATTAAATGCCTCCTTGCAGCAGGGTAGGATCCTTGCTTGCTTAAAGGAGGCAGAATTAAGATTGCTACTGAAGAAGCCCTCCCTGGATGCCAGTGTATTGGATAACTACCAGCCAGTCTCAAACATCCAGTTCCTGGGCAAGCTACTGGAGCATGTGGTGTTTTCTCAGGTCCAGGAGTTCCTGGATTATCTAGACCCGTTTCAGTCTGGCTTCAGGCCTGGCTATGGGACAGAGACAGCTTTGGTCACCTTGGTGGATGACCTACACTGGGATTTGTACAGGAGTGTGTGTCCTTGTTGGTTCTATTGGACCTCTCAGTGGCTTTTGATACCATCAACCATGGTATCCTTCTGGGCCGTCTCTCTGGGATGGGACTTGGAGGCACTGTTTTACAGTGGCTCCAGTCCTTCCTGGAGGGGAGAACTCAGAAGGTGGCGCTGGGTGACTCCTGCTCAATGCCCTGGCCATTGGCCTGTAATGTTCCTCAGGGTTTTCTTTTGCCACCCATGCTTTTTAACATCTACATGAAACTGCTGGGAGAGGTTGTCTGGAGTTTTGGGGTTTGGTGTCACCAGCATGTGGATGACACCCAACTCTATCTCTCCTTTCCACCTAATTCCAGGGAAGCTATCTTGACTCTAAACCAGTGCTTGGCATAAGTAATGGGCTGGATGAGGGCAAACAAACTGAAATTTAATCCAGACACGACAGGGGTGCTCCTGGTTAGTTGAAAGGCAGATGAGGGAATAGAGATACTACCTGTGCTGGATGGGGTTACACTCCCCCTGAAAACTCAGGTTCACAGCTTGGATGTACTCCTGGATTCATCCCTAAGTTTGGATGCCCAGGTCTCAGCGGTGGCCGGGAGTGCACTAAAGCTGGTGTGCCTGCTGCGCCCATTCCTTGAGATGTTGGACCTGGCTACAGCCAGACATGCTTTAGTTACATTCCATTTGGATTACTGTAACACACTTTGTGTGGGGCTGCCCTTGAAGACTTCAGCTGGTGCAAAACTCTGCAGCCAGACTACTGAGTGGGGCCAGCTACAAGGAGCATATAATGCACCTGTTACAACTGGTGGCTACACTGGTTACCAGTTCGTTTCTGGGCCCAGTTCATAGTCCTGGTCATTACCTACAAAGCCCTATACAGCTTGGGTCCAAGCTACCTGAAGGACCATATCTCCCTAGATGCGTCTTCTCATCAGTTAAGATCAGCAGAGGAAACCCTCATCTCGGTCCTGTTGCCAACACAAGCACAGCTGATGGGGACACAGGAGAGGCCCTTCTCTGTGGCAGCTCCTAGGCTATGGAACGCTCTCCCTCGGGAGATCAGGATGGCCCCTTCCCTTTTATCCTTTCAAAAAAAGCTAAAGACCCATCTCTTCAGGCAGGCTTTTAACAATTACAACTGAATCCCTGAATCCCATTTCAGCAAATAATTTTAATATTTCCGTGCTTTAATCTTTTTATTTAATTTTAAATCATATATTGCTGAATTTATCTTTTAATATTTAACTTATTGTGTTTTCAAATTGTGTGAATTTTAATGTTGTGAGCTGCTTTGGGCCCCTTGTTGGGAGAAATGCGGCATATAAATAAAATTAATAATAATAATAACAATCCAGAAAAGGCCCTCCCAAACTACAGATAGCATGTGAGGTTGTAATTAAAATTCCAACAAGTCAAAAACCTGCAGCAGCAATCATATTCTTTTCAGGAAGCAGTAGTAAACATTTGAAAAACAAACACAGAATTTGTTGTGTGCTGTCAAAAGAAGGTAACAAAATGAGTATACTGGGAATGAGAGTGGAAATCTTTTTTAAAAATAAAAATTAGAAGATAAGAACTTTTTCAAACCTCTCAAAATTCAGCGCATTGAAAGCCCATAATGTCTACTTCCAATCTTCCAGTTATGGCCCTGAATCAAGAATCCATTCAAAGGGTATGGCTTTTTGCTTGGACTGCCCCCTCCTTTCAGTAATGATTTATGGAATGCTGTTTTATCTGGTCACACAGTATTAGAGATGCACTCTTGTCTTCCTCTAAGCCATGTTTTTTTTAAACTTGTACTCTACTTTTGTATATTTCGTTCGTTTACAAAATGACATGCTTGGAAAAAAATGAAAATTGAAGAGGAAATCTTCCATCAGTACATTTTTTGTTAGTTACTGATAGCTACATTGCTGTTGGACATGAGAAGGAATCTTCAGTACACAGCTAGTTATCTAGTAAACTGTGGAAAGCATAATGTCCTAGATTTCAAAGCACACTTAAAGAGTGAGGCAAGGATAAGGGATTGGAGTTCCATTGTGCCCTGAAGACTTCATGTGCATCTTTTGGACAAATACTTTAGATGGATCCTCTTATTACAACTCTTTCTCTGCCATTCTGTTCCAGTCATGATCCTTCAAGCTCCGCCTCCATTCCAAAGGTCACGCCATTGACTGTTGCTAGGCACAGAATCCTCTTCCTCTTCTAATTCAAATACAGCCCCTTTCCATCTTGTTTGCAGACTGTCAACAGCTGCAGAGGTGTTCCCATTCTGCAGTGAGATGCCAGAGGATGTCCTTCAGGGGATTCCTTCCTCTCTATGGTAAAATTACAAGTACTCTGGCTTGGCTACTCATGATGTTCTTGAGGAATATTCTGATGGAGACTGCAGGACAGATGCCACCGCAAGGCTTTAGATATGCCTTTTATGAGGTGACTATCCCACGGAAACTGGCTCCCAAATATGGACAAGAACACCAGGATATTACCTATTCTTTGCAGATTGGAGGAAAAGGTTACATTTTATATCTCAAGCAGAGGACAGGTTTGATCCCTAAACATTTCCCCATCTTCACCTACAGTAAGGAGGGGGACCTCCAAGTGGATTATCCATTCATTAGGGATGACTGTTTCTACCGTGGCTTTGTACAAGGTAACCCTCACTCTCTGGTCACACTCAGCACTTGTTCAGGAGGACTCAGGGGTCTCTTGCAAATAGCAAATGAGATCTATGAAATTGAACCTGTCCAGGCATCTGCCACCTTTCAGCATGTGGTGTATCGGTTGGAAGAGAAAGGAGATGCTGTCCGCATGAGGTGCGGGCTGACAGAGGAAGAGCAAAAGCGTCAAGAGTTCATGATGCAAACCACAGAGAATGCAGTGACCAAAAGTGACTCTAGAAGAGTATGGTGGACCCACACCAGGTATGTCAAGGTTGCCATTGTAGTGGACCATGAACGATTTGTGAAGTTTGACAGAAATGAAACTCTTATTTCTATGCAAGTTCTGGAGGTTGTCCATACTGCAAATTCACTGTATGATCCACTTCCTGTTCAGTTGTCTGTAGCTGGACTAGAGATTTGGTCAGCCAAGAACCTCATACAAATTTCTGATACCATAAACGACACACTATTGTCTTTTACACTTTGGAGAAGAGACTCCCTTGTTAAACGACTACAACATGATGCTGGCCACTTGTTTTTATATAAGAGTTTTGGAACTACGCTTGGATTAGCATACATGGGAACAATCTGTGATAATCAATGGGGATCTGCAGTTGAATCATATATGACTTCCAGTTTATTCCATTTTTCTAACACATTTGCTCATGAACTAGGACATATTCTTGGCATGAAACATGATGACAAATACTGTAGTTGTAATCGAAATGCCTGCATTATGGCTGCAGTTCAGGCAACTACTGATAAGTTTAGCGACTGCAGTTATAATGATTATTTCAGACTAAGGGATTCTAGTTGCTTGTTCATTCCACCAGACTCTGATAAAATGTATAAACTAAAAAACTGTGGCAACAAAGTAGTGGATAATGGAGAGCAATGTGATTGTGGCTCAAAAGCTGAATGTGAGTCAGATCTATGTTGCCAGTCTAATTGTATGTTTCGTTCTGGTGCCACCTGTGCTTTTGGCCAATGCTGTGCCAAGTGTCAGTATCTTCCAGCTCAAACAGTTTGCCGAGATAACACAAGCATCTGTGATCTTCCTGAGTATTGCACTGGGACTTCGGTTTGGTGTCCTGAAGATGTTTATGTGCAAGATGGTGCCCCATGCAATGATGGTGCACACTGTTATCATGGGAAATGCACTACTCACCAGGAGCAGTGTAAACTGATATTTGGCACCCAAGCCACAGTTGCTTCAGAGGATTGCTTCAGAGAAATGAATACTCAAGGTGATCGCTTTGGCAATTGTGGATTTAAAAATGGAACTTATAACAAGTGTCATGCCGCAAATATCCTTTGTGGACGAATCCAGTGTGATAATGTGGATAACTTGCCTTCTTTAGAGGAGCACAGCACCATCATTCAATCACACATTGGCAATGGGCTTTGCTGGAGTATAGACTACAACAATAGAATGGAAGCTACTGATATTGGAGCAGTGAGAGATGGCTCTTCTTGTGGCCCTGACATGATGTGCATTGATAGTGAATGTCTGAATATCTCTCATTTGATGTATGACTGTGATGTCAAAAGATGCCATCATCGGGGAATATGCAACACTCACAAACATTGTCATTGTGATTATGGCTGGGCCCCTCCAGACTGTTTGTATAAAGGGTATGGTGGCAGCATTGACAGTGGACCCCCTCCGCCACAGAAGCGTAGCTTAAGTTTTTCTACAATAGGACTTATTGTACGACTAATATATATACTTGCTGTTGCTGTTATTTGGTTTGGCATGTTTGTTCATATCGTAAGAATGGGTTCATACACATCAGGGTAGATTGCTGAGGTCAAGATTCCACCCAATGAAGTTAATACAGGAAGAAGCTGCCCAGTAGAATCCAGGAGTGACCAATGCACGGTGCATCTAATATGTATACTCAAGCAATTCTGGATTATATTATGCAGGCACGCACTTGAGTGTGCAACATTTGATTTTGATTTTTAATGCTGCTTTGATGAATTTTTTTTTCTAGGCATGTTGGTGCATAAAAATCCTGGGTTCATGGAAGGAAGGAAATTCTGCTGTATTTTGAAGCAGCCTCTATTCCATTTCTTATAAAAAATATATTGGTTTAGCCCGCTCTGAGAAAAATCCTTTGTTCTTTGACATGGAAGGCTAACTAATAATTTCTGAAAAAATCCTTCTGGAAGGCCAGTGCATTAATCCATTTTGGAGTATTGATGGTAATGCGAAATATATCAGGGAGGGGAAAAAATCCCTGCATTTGTAAATCAATGACTGTGTTACAAATATAAAGGAAGTATCACAAGGACTGTTACATTTTCATATTAAATTAATGTTTATTGTTCAAGTGGTGTAAAATTCTGCAGTATTGAAAGCATTTATGCACAAGTAAAAAAAGAAAAATTGTGTAATAGTGAAAAGTTATCTTTTTGTACAATCTCTGTCTATAATCCAACCTCTAAGTAATGCTGATGATCTTGAAAGGTATTTTATTTGAAAGGAATCTTTTCATAAATTCTTTATTACTTTGCAAATTCTTTGCTATTATGCTTTTTGCAGAGCCTTTTAACAGAGTAATGACCACTATATCCTCTCTTTTTTTGTTATGGTTGACAGAGCAGAAAAAAAACCAAATAAAGCACAATAATCATCATTCCAAATCAAAGTACAGTGATGTAGACTGAAACCAAATGATGGAGCTAGCACATGGTTAGAAGTGCAGATCACTGAAGGGTTTGAATGATGTCTGCTTCTCAAGGCATGGGGTTTCTCACCTTCCTTTCTTGCAAATTAGATTGCTTTGTTTGGTGACAGATCAAGAGGAGGTAATTGCAATTGATTAGTCATGTAGTTTTGTGGAATTGTTATGCACTTCTAATAATGCTCTAGTGTTTGATTTAACCCATATGTACCAGCAGTTGGCCACTCAGTCCAGATAATGGTTTCACACCACAGCACCTAAATGATTTGCCTGCCAATTTTAAGTGTATTTAAAGGGAAATCTGAACAATTACCATTTGTCTAATTTGGTATGAAAATTTGCACACGTGCGCGCGCGTGCGCGCACACACACACACACAAAAGACTAAATGACAAATGTTATGCCATTTTTATTCCATAAAAAGACACAAAATGGCTCACAATAATTAAAAATGCATGTAAGATTAACAGTGCAATAAATTATTCAATTAAAACAATTAAATGTACTGTAGTATAAAAATTAAAAATCTAAAAACACTAAAAGAACCATTAAAACATACTGAAAAATAGGATGATAAAGCTATCAAGGAGAATCTAGCTTTAATGCTCAATGTACTTATTAAAAGTTGGTTAAAAAGGTTTTAAACAGGTTTTGAGGTCATTAGACATTAAATAGGCTCTCCCTGAGATCCTTTTATGTTTAAAAAGAAAGACTACTACATAGCTGTTACATTTACAGAACATAAAATGGGCTTCTATACCACGTCTGTGTCCTCAAAAGATAAGGTGTTTTTATATATTCAGTACAACTTAAGCAGATAAATTTAAAATATACTCCCACTGCCAGAGTAAAGAAAATTATTTTGCAACATTTCAAGCCACAGAGACCGAATTGCTCAAATATGGGAAACAAAACAATGGCCCACAGACTGGAAATGTTCAATATATGTTCCAGTTCCCAAGAAAGGAGATGCCATGGAGTGCAATAACTATAAGACCATTGCTCTAATTTCCCATGCAAGCAAAGTGATACTCAAGGTGTTGCAACAAAAGCTTTTACCTTCCATGGAGTAAGAAATGTCCGATGTTCAAGATGGATTCCAAAAAAGAAGAGCACCTGAGATCGTCTTAAAATATCTGCTGTCTACTGGAGTGCACCAAAGGATTTCAGAAGAAGATCAGTCTATGTTTGATAGACAACAGCAAAGCTCTTGCTTGGGCGGATTGTGAACATCTATAGGAAAGAAATGGGTGTGCCTCAGCACTTGAGTGTCCTTATGGGCAATCTGTATTGTGGACAAGGAGCTACCATTAGGACAGAAGATGGAGAGATAGTACGGCGTCAGACAAAGGTACAATTTATCTCCTTACCAGTTCAATCTGTACGCAGAACATTACGGAAAGACAGACAAGATTCAGATGAAGGTGAAGGGTAAACTGGTGGAAGAGACATATGCAGACAACACTGTCTTATTGCATAAACCAGCAATGACTTGAAACGACTTCTGGCGAAAGTGAAAGAAGAGAGTGCCAAAGCAGGACAGCAGATTTGTCTTAAGAAGATGAAAATCATGACTATAGAAGAACTACACAACTTTAATGTTGACAACGAAGAAACTGAAATTGTTAAAAGATTTTGGCTCAATCATCAGTTCAAATAGAGACTGCAGCCAAGAAATCATGACTCATAAGGCCAGTTATGAAGAAATTAGAAAATATTATCAGGTGTAAGGATGTTTCATTGGAGAATAAGACCAAGATCATCCCCATCCTTATATTTCCCTGCATGGGTGTTGAAAACTGGATAGTAAAGAAAGCTGACATGAGAAAAAAAAATTGATTCACTAGAAATGTGATGCTAGTGAAGAGTTTTGCAAATACCCTGAACTGCCATAAAGATGAACAAGGAGGTCCTAGATAAAATCAAGCCTATCTCTGGAGGCAAAAATGCTGAAACTGAGACTGTCATATTTTTGGCACATCAGGATAAGGCAATATTTGCTAGAAAAGACAATGATGCTGGGAAAGGTTGAAGGCAGCAGGAAAAAAAGGAAGGCCAAATATGAGATGGATAGGCTTTCTAAAGGAAAGCACAGGCTTGAGACCTGAGCAGGGCTGTTGAGGATAGGACATTGTGGAGATCACCCATTCTCAGGGTCGCCACAAATCAGTGTGCCATAACAGCACATAGCAACGATGTTTTATTAAATTTATGTTTAAACAAACCATTTTGTGATTCATTTTTGTACATTCTTAATGTCGTGGTTCACCCCATCCCTGAACTATTAAGCAGGGCCACATCATGCACTTTCTCTCTCTCCTTCCCTGTCTTTCATTACTCTGGCCATTTCTCTCTCCTTTCTCTTTTCCTGACTGCTAGTCCATCTCTACTGCTTCCAGCAATAGGAAGAGGAGGGAGTGGAAAGGGAGGAAAGAGAAAAGAGAAAGCACCGCCGTGCTCTTGGTTTGTTCTTCTTCTTTCTAGTCCAGAAATTGAGATGGCTGAATTTACATTCTTTCTGGCCAGTAAGAAAGTTCAAGGCCAGCTCTGCTTTGTGGGAAAAGGGAGAAGGGCAGGAATGATTTGACCTCTTGTAGCTGGAATCACACTCAACCCAAAGGGACAGACAAGGAAGGAAATGATAAACCACTTCTGAGTACTCTATACCTAGAAAGTCCCAAGAGAGTCAGTTTAAATCAGAATTGATTTGATAGCACACAATTGTAAAATAAAGTTTATTTGCAATCCTGCTTTTGCAGTTTTCTTCTTCCACCTTTATGAGAAGTTGTGACAGGGGCTGGACTCAATGATCCATTGAGTACCTTCCAACATGATGATGATGAATGATTGTATCGTTCCCTTTCCTTCTACATGACAGTCACTGAGGAGTTGTATTGAAGATTCTGACTCTCTTTCATCTTTTACTTTTGCTTTTTGTCTGTGTAACAATTTTAAATACTTCTTTCATCATGCATCTAGGCTTTTCTTTTCTTTTTACAACAGGAATAGTCTTTTTACATTCCTTTCCTAATAATATCTCTGGTTTCTGGTACACAAGCAATTGAGTTTAATTATGCAAATCTCTTCTTTAGGCAAAGGTTCCCCTTGACATTTTGTCCAGTCATATCTGACTCTAGGGTGCAGTGCGCATCCCCGTTTCCAAGCCATAGAGCTAGCGTTTGTCCGAAGATAGTTTCTGTGGTCACGTGGCCAGTGCAACTAGACACGGAACTCTGTTTCCTTCCCACCGAGGTGATACCTATTTATCTATTCACATTTTTACATGTTTTCGAACTGCTATCATTCATTCATTCATTCATTCATTCATTCATTCATTCATTCATTCATTCATTCAGTTCTTTATTTGGACTTAAATTTGTTAGAAATGTTATTTAGATTATGTTTCAGTATTTTGATTCTTTTTACATTTGTTTTTAGCTTAACAGTTTTTAAAACTACTAATAACATGTGGTCTGTACCACAATCTGCTCCTGGTCTTGTTTTGGCGGAGAGAAATAGCTTCTCCATCTACTACTTCCAATTATGGAGTCTGCGTTTGATTTCTGTGATGGCGAACTGGTGATGTCCATATGTACAGTCATCTGTTCAATTGCCTGAAGCATGTATTTGCAATAAACACATTTCCAACTTCACATAGCTTTACGAAACATTCTCCTTCTTTGTTTCTGCTTTGTTTCCTACTTTTGCATTCCAGATTTCTATAATTATCAGCTCAATTTGTTTTGGTGTGTGATCAGTTTCCTCCTAGATGGGTATAAAACTTTTCCATTTCTTTTTCAATATCTGTCATTGGAACTTAGATTTAAATGGTGGTTATACTGACAGGTTTTCCAAGAAGTCTAATTAATATTATTTAGTCAGATCTTGCATTACAGCTCCTAACTGCCTGTGCTACAATTTGCCTAAGTATTAGAGCCACAATGTTTCTTTTGTCTTTTGAGTTTGTCGTACCCAGAGTAAAAAAAAAAAAACCTGCTGGAGTGAAAATGTCTTATTTTTGCCCACTTGAGTTCACTCATACTACATAGTGTAATGATTAAATGTTCCATTTCATGCTTTATGTTTTCCAGTTTACCTTGGTCCATACTTCTCACATTTCATGTTCCAAGTGTATGCGTAGATATTTGACCTTTCTTTCTCTTCTGCTCATGTCAGCCACTAGACATATTTTCTGCTTTAATCAATTTCCTTCATTAATGACAGTATTATTTGTATTTGTCCTTGGCTCTCGCCCAGTAGCTTACTGGAATCACCAGGAAGTCTCATCTTCCAGCATAATTTATTGTTTCATTTTGGATCGTCTCATCATAGGAGTTTCAAAGTGTGCAATATTCAGAAATGCTTTACATTGCTGCCTTCTTCACAGTGCTAACAAGAGGGACCTTGGGTGTCACTGAGATTGACTTTGAGAGGTCCTCTGCCAATATCACCTTCCACTACTCCTGCTGCCCAGTAGCTGTCCCCCAAGGGTTTCTTCACCCTCATCCCCATTGGAACTATCAGTTCTCTTCTGATGATGTCACATAACCAAAAAGGCCACTCTACTGCTCTAGAACCTTGTAAATTACTTCCTTCCCATTTATTTCCTCATTGATTTCTGCGCTGAAGGCCTAACAAAATTAATGTACCCTGTTTCCCTGAAAATAAGACCTAACCTGAAAATAAGCCCTAGCCTAGTATGATTTTTCAGGATGCTCGTAATATAAGCCCTACTCCAAAAATAAGCCCCAGTTAAGTGAAACACCACCCTCCACCACTGTGCAGCAACCAGAAGATGACATAATTGTATAATAAAACATCCCCTGAAAATAAGCCCTAATGCATTTTTAAAGCAAAAAATAATTTGTGGAAACACGGTACTATGACAAAATGCAGAAGTGACTGGTTCCTCAGGGACTCCAGGCTTATTGTCTCAGGGAATCACTGTTCTGGAGTCATTAGCTCAGAAAGTTTGACACAGGTCTATTGCGAGGCCTTTGTTTGAGTCTAACCTTTATGTGATTGCTACTAGTTCTTCCAATCTAGCTGGTCTCTCTGTGTTGAGGTTGGAATCATAATTATTGCCAAGAATAAGGACCATGGCACCGCATGATGTTGATTCCCTAAAATCTAGAAACATTTCAATTTAATTTTCTGTATAAATTCAGGATTGAGAGTATATAATAGCCCTGGGAATTTAATTTCATCTGGAGCTCAAAAGGAGAGTCCTAATCCTGACAATGATCTGTGCCATCAGAGATCATTTGCTCTTGCCAGATATTTCAGAAAGAATAATAGGGAAGCTCCTTGTGTGAAAGTTCTAGTCTTAATTGCCAAGATGCTCCCCATATGTGACTATATGTAACCTGTGATTTCTCCCATCAGCATTGTCCCATAACTGATAGTCTTCCTTTAAGCAGAGGGGAATAACTCTGCTAAGCGGAGTCACACTGAACATGAAGGAGAGGTTATTGAATCTGATAGTATCCTGTACCCTGCATTGCTACATGATGCAGAAATGTCAGGAACAGAAGTTATTAATTAAATAAGTAGGAGAGTCTAAAAATGAGAGTTTTCCTTGTAACTCAGAGAAAATGTATCAGACATGGCAGTAGGCTAGAGAGAACTGTGAAAAGGACACAATACGTGGAAACTAAAGCAAAAAGCAAAGTGTGCTGCTTATATACCGCCCCATAGCGCTTCAAGCAATCTCGGGGCGGTTTACAAGTTACAGTAATTATGCAGGCTACACATTGCCCCACCCCAGCAAGCTGGGTACTTATTTTACTGACCTTGGAAGGATAGAAGGTTGAGTCAACCTTGAGCCGGCTACCTGGGATTGAACCCTGGGTCGTGAGCACAGTCTTGGCTGCAGTACAGTTTAACCACTGCACCACGAGGCTCATCCTAGCCAAGAGGTGTACACAGTAGTACATGACCCAAGACAACTGGCACAACTGGGACAATGCCAAAGACTCCTTGCTTGTCATTAAAAATAAATAAACCACTAAACTCAAGAGTCAGCTTTGCACACATTCTTATGAGACACAGAAGCTATGTATGGCAAGGTATTGCACCTGTAATTTGTTACACTGGTGTGGCACACATGGAGAATGAATTGATTAGGAAGCTTCTCTGAGTTCTTCATCAGCACAGCCAGAAGCCCTGATGAGAATGAAGAGTGATAGACATATGATGAGGAATAAATTTAACAAATGAGAGCACAGTCTTGGCTGCAGTACAAATTAGAGCCTACTAATTCTTACAGAATTAGAGAGAGTTTGTCCATAGTGAATCCCCAGAGTACTGAAAGCCTATGCCGAGTACCCTTGAAAACAAAGGATAGAAAAAATTGATAGCTCTGGCCAGATCAAGGCTGCTGTAGAACAACAGGATGGAGAGCTTGATTCTGAGGAATGGAAAGAAGTGTCACGAAGGATCTTGGTTACTTCACTGACTTAAAGTCAGGTGAGTCAACAATAAGATGCACATGAGAAAGGGTAAGAAGTTATACAGAACAAAAGTAATGCCCAGGCATCTGGGTATGGGGATGCTTTGGGAATGGACCATGTTTTGTGAGAAACATGGTCTCACAAAAAGAGACCATGTTTCTCTTTTTGAGAAACAAAAAGATATACAGTACCATTATTTGTTTCGTTCTGTCCTTTATATTCCAACCCTTTAGTACAAAGCACAATCCTGGGCAGTTATGAAGCTAAAATCAAAGAACAAATCAAGCAATAAAAGAAAATAAACATTTCAAGATTTCAGGTCAGCCACATTTAGTTGTCCGCCTCTCAGGTGTAACTCCCAGAATTGAAATTGGCTGTAGTTACTTGGCAGTCAACCACAAAGGTGCATGCTTGTGGAGTTCATGGTGGCAGTTCTCCTTAATTTCACTATCAAATGACAGAGATAATTAAGGAGTACTAGGGATGAGTCGGAACCACCAGTTTGGCAGCTTGTGCCAGTTTGTTTATTAGCCAAAGAGGCGTTCAGCGCTTCAAAGCCACACCCTCTCCAGTGGGCATCCACTCAGAAGCAGCACCCAGAGGAGGCAGGGCAGGGAAGCCCAGCGGCTGCCTCCAAGGGGTTGCTCGCCAGAGGAGGCGGGGCTTTGAAGTTACCCATCTCTAAGTAGTGCCATCTCTGGTATCCCTTGCTCTTGCTATCTTTCCCACAACAAAATGGATATTTCATCCAAGGAGGCTGGGATGGCAGAAACAAAAATACATGAATAAATAGCTTGGTTGAACTTCTCTGAAATATACTAAGCTTTATGATATAGCTACCCAGTAGGAGCAGTCACATACTGCCTCTGTGGTTCTGCTTATTCAAACACCTTTCTGGGAAGCTATTCTTTGTGTTTCATACTTCTAGCTCATCAGTTTTACTAGGAATATCCATTCTCTCTAACAATATTAAGGGCAAGCTTTGAGAAGCCTTTTCTGAATGCACAGCACAACAGTCTTCTATTACTGTGTGATCAATTACCTTCATTATCTTTTATTTTCATTAAATATGGTTCTCACTTTCTTACCTCTAGTTCCTGCATCCCTCAGGCATCTTTTCTTCTTATTCTTCCATCGTGAATAGCAGCTCATTCTCTATCATCATTAAGACAACAAGCTCCGCCCCTGTTCCAAAGATCACTCTACCGACAGTTGCTATGGTCAGAACCCCCCCTCCCCCCACCTTTTGCAATTGTATGTGCTGTCTTGCTGAACAGCACTGCAGGGGCCTTCCTCTCTATTCTAAAGAAGAGGAAGGTAGAGTGGAGTATTCTAAAATACATTCCCTTCCTGGCGAAATGAGGAACAATACTGCCTGGATACTGATACTGATGGTACAGAATGTCCTGAGTGAGACAGCAAGGCAGATGCCATATCAGGGTTTTAGATATGCTTTTTATGAGGTAACTATCCCAAGGAAACTGACACCCAGGTTTGCAGAGGAACCCCGGAATATCAGCTACCTGCTGCAGATTGGAGGGAAGGGTCACATAGTGCACCTTGAGCAGAAGAGGGACTATATTTCTAAACACTTTCCTGTTTTCACATATGGCAAAAAAGGGGACCTCCATGTGGACTATCCATTCATCAACAATGGCTGTTTCTATAATGGCTTTATTCAGAACACCCCTCACTCTTCAGTGACCCTCAGCACCTGCTCAGGAGGGCTCAGGGGTCTGTTGCAATTAGCAAATGAGATCTATGAGATCGAACCTGTCCAGGGATCTGCTACCTTTCAGCATGTGATGTATCGGTTGGAAGAGAAAGGAGGTGCTTCCCACTTGAGGTGTGGACTGACAGGGAAAGAGCCAAAACATGAAGTGATCATGATGGAGAAGATAAAGAAAGGAGAGATGGGAAGTAGATCTAAAAGATTCTGGTGGACGCACATCAGGTACGTCAAGATTGCTATTGTAGTGGACTATGAACTATATGGGAAGTTTGGCAAAAATGAAACTCTTGTTGCTATGCATGTTATGGATGTCTTCCATATTGCAAATTCATTCTATGACTCCCTTGATGTTCAGTTGTCTATAGCTGGTCTTGTGATCTGGTCAGAAAAGAATCTCATACAAATATCTGACAGCATAGAAGACACGCTCAACTCTTTCACTAGTTGGAGGCAAGATTCACTACTTAAGCACATAGAGAATGATGTTGGCCACTTATTTGTATATAAGGATTTTGGAAATTCAGATGGATTAGCTTACATGGGAGGAGTATGTAATGATCAGTATGGATCTGCTGTTGAATCGTATGTGACTTCATATTTATTTGACTTCTCTGTATTATTTGCCCATCAGCTGGGACATAATCTTGGAATGCTACATGACAAAAAATACTGTGTGTGTGATCGAAAGGCCTGTATTATGTCTGGATTTCTTGTACCTACTGATAAGTTTAGCAACTGCAGTTATGTGGAGTATGTCAACCAAAAGAATTCTCATTGCTTACTAATTCCACCAGACCTTGAGAAAATATATAAACCCAAGTATTGTGGTAACAAAATAGTGGAAAAGGGAGAGCAATGTGATTGTGGTTCCAAAGCTCTATGTGAATCGGATTCATGTTGCCAATCTGATTGTACTTTGAAAAGTAATGCTAAATGTGCCTTTGGCCAATGTTGCTTCAAGTGTGAGTACCTTCCTGCTCAAACAGTTTGCAGACAAAAGACTGGCATTTGTGATCTTCCTGAGTACTGCAATGGGACTTCAGAATGGTGCCCTGAAGATGTATATGTACAAGATGGTGCCCCATGCAAAGATGGTGCACACTGTTATCACGGAGTTTGTACCACTCACAGTGAGCAGTGTAAAAACATATTTGGCCAAAAAGCCACTTCAACTTCAGAGGACTGTTTCAGGAAAATGAATACTAGAGTTGATCGCTTTGGCAACTGTGGACTTAAGCATGGAATCTATAAAAAATGTGATCTAGATAATATCCTCTGTGGTCGAATTCAGTGTGAAAATGTTGATAGCATACCTTCTCTAGCAGAACACAGTACCATAATTCAAACAATTGTTGGCAATAAGCAGTGTTGGAGTATAGACTATCATAGTGGAATGGAGATAGCTGATATTGGGGCAGTGAGAGATGGCACTCCTTGTGGCAAAGATAGGCTGTGTATTAATAGGGTATGTGTGAACGTGTCCCTCTTGAAATATGACTGTAATTTCACAAAGTGCCATAATCGGGGAATATGCAACACCTACAAACATTGCCACTGTGATTATGGCTGGGCTCCTCCTGACTGCATAAATAAAGGCTTTGGAGGTAGCATTGACAGTGGACCCCCTCCACCAAAGAAAGTTATCACTGGAACTATTATAGGGATTATATTTGCTCTTTGTGTTGCTTTGGTTTGTATTGGCTTCTCTGTGTATTACAGGAATGAGCTCTGGCACATCTTTAAAACACTGAGTTCAAAAATCCATCCAACAGAACCAACAAAGAAGAAAGCCCATCACAAATTTCGGAATAGAATTAAGCATTAAAGACAAAGAAGAACAAAATAATGGAGAGTAGCAGTATGCAGGAGTGTGCAAGCTTTTCACTGTTATTTTCATAGCTTCTTTTTGGTGGAATTTCCCCCCACAGAACTATCATTAATTCCAGGTTTGGGTTCAACAACAGGGAAAACGTTCTCTGATATTTTCTAGCCTACTGAAAGATCTCTTGTCAGGCCACCTGGAAAAAGCTTCTGGCCTCTAACAGGAAACACAGAAGTCTCTGAGCAGAAGCCCATTTCTCAAATAGGACCCTGTTCCTGCAGAAAGTGCTATAAGCATCTCCGGGTTGTCTGGTTAGCTGAAATCCTATCTGCAAGGTATGCTGGTTGCATCAAGATTAGTTTGTAATCAGATCCGGTAGCAATGGGAATACAACATGGCTAGCCATGGAAACATAGCAAACATATTAATATTAAAATAAGAAATATCCCTTTTAATTGTATTAAAATGTCAAATATACAATCTCCAATGTTGCTAAGTGTAAATTTAATATACAAAGGCAGGGCTTAAACTATAAAAACATAAATATCAAATATATGTAGTATGTATCAAATAGACATCCAAATCTTGGTAAAAGACTACTGAGGTTGTAATTGTGGTCATGATGCTCTAATGTACCCTGAGCCTGAATAAAATGTTGTTTTGCATGCATAGACTGTTGGAGTTATATTTTACAAATAGCATTTCTGCTCAGTAAAGTTACAAAAGACAGGCAGGTGAGATTAATGAGTTTAATTGACCTTGAGAAATGCTGAGTGTCTCTGAGTAAGATCAGTATAAAAGAAGCAGTAAAGAAAAGAGGCCAGAGGAGAGAGAGGAAGAAAGTAGTAGCAGAATGAAGATATATTGCCAGATGAAGTGAGAGGCATCTGCATGGATATTTCCTCATGGGTGAGAGAAAACAGAAAAGAAACTTAAAGGATTGATAAGACTTGAAATTACAGAGGCTACAAGCAACTAATTTAAAAGCAAATAGAACAAGTAATAAGCAATGAAAAACTCTTGTACCTTTTGGATTATGTAAAAAGAAATATTTAATTCACATGAATTAAATGCGAATCATGCTTTTATAGAATAAATAACTTTAATGGTTGTTGTGGATTTTTTGGGCTCTTTGGTGTTGAAATCCATAAATACCAATAGAGCTTCAACAAAAAAGAGGAAAGTCTAAAACTTAATAAGGCCTGGCTCCCAGCACTGGAAAATACAGGCTGCAAAAGGTCAACGAACTCTACCCAGCCACAAGGACCAGGGATCATGGCACAAAAAAGACCTGCTAAAGACACCCATCAATCACAGTGCAGATAATTTCTCCCTCTTATCACAACAATACATCCACAACCAAAACATGCTGATCACCATCATCACCCTATCTCCTGAAAAGGACAAAAGCTGTTCCCATGGCTATAAATACTCAACTATCCAACAAACAGCAACAGAGCATGGAATGAGTTCCTACTCCTGTCCTCTGAAGAAGCCGGCCACAGAAACTGGCGAAACGTCAGGAAAAACAACCTTCAGATCACGGTCAAAGAGCATGAAAAACCCACAACAACCATTAGATCCCGGCCATGAAAGCCTTCGAGAATACAAATAACTTTAACTTGTTCAAATTGACTCTGCTGTGCCATTCTGCACCTAATTATATGCAAAGGGGACTACAAACCCCACCAAACGTCTTTGATTCTTATGTTTGGCCTGCTGACATCTTCAATACTAAAATGTTTTAAAATTCCAAATCCAGCATTGTTCATATAAAGTAAAATCCATAGAAGAAAAAGTGTGAGTCTTTTTCTTTACAGCACTGTTAATTGAAATACTGTAGTGGTAAGAACATCTCTCTGTACTATCACAGCTTTATTAAAACTTTGAATTTATATTTTGGTTTCTTTTTCATTTTTTAAAGACTGTAGTTTGCAAATATATATGACAAGTGACTCATACAAATTCAAATGTATAACTAATGGGACTAAATTATGTATAAAGTAAGCCCAGTGCCCAATAAAGGGAGCAGACAGTAAAAGCAGAAAGAAAATAATTTTTTTCTAAGTCAAATCTGTAAGTGAAGTCCATTTTCAAACAAAATATTGCACTTTATATTTTTAGTTTATTTTTTCCGAAACAAGTATTTGTTCTATAAGTTATTTACAGTTTTTAGGGGTTCAATGTATAATTTTTCTTATAACAAAAAATATAACACTGAGGTGCAAAAGCAAAAAAAGGGACTATATAGTCCAGACTATAATTTCAAAACAGTAATAATTGATATTCAAAAAAATTGTGGGTTATGTTCCCCTCCTACAAAATAGGTTAGTTTTCTAAGAATGTATCCCATATTTTTGAGCTATTGAGTAGGAATTAGTGGACTTTCGCCTCCCAGTTTTGTACAATACAAATTCATACAGCCAACAGTTAATACAAGTTTTAGGTTGCAACAGCATCATTTTGGTAAGACATTAGGATGATTTTGGCATTTAGTAGCAACTGTTATTGGACAGTGTCATCGAAGCTACCAACATGAATTTGACCAAACTCTGGGAGGCAGTCGAAGATAGGAGGGCCTGGCGTGGTCTGGTCCATGGGGTCACAAAGAGTCGGACACAACTTAACAACTAAACAACAACAAGCAACTGTTATTATGTCATCTGCTGTGATAAACTAGAATGCATTTCCAAAATAATTTTATATTTTGACATATTCAAAATATGTTACTAAACCTTAGGGTTTTCATGTCTCCAAAAATCTTTGGTTATAGTTAGCATGGTGTTAAAACATCACTGATAAAAGTTTTATTTTTTAATTTCCTTTTTGCTTGTCCTTAGTAAGTTAGGCCCTATTTTATTAAAGATGTATGATTAAATCCTTACTTTTCTTTGAACCATATCTGTGTTTGTTCCATTTAGTTGTTGTTATTGCTGCTATGTCTTGTCTAGTTGGAAACAACCTATAGTGACCCTAATAGGGCTTTTAAGGTAAGTGAGATATTTAAGGAGTAGATTTACCAGCTCCACACACACAGTGAGTCTTCATGGCCGAATGGGGACTCAGACCCAGGCCTCTTGAGTCCTAATCCATCATTACTCCACATCAGATACCTCTGCCTTTACTTACAGTCTGCCAATAATGAATATATAGGTAAAGCTAAAGGTTCCCCTTGACATTTAGTCTAGTCGTGTCCGACTCTAGGGGGCAGTGCTCATCCCTGTTTCCAAGCCATAGAGCCAGTGTTTATCCAAAGACAGTTTCCGTGGTCACGTGGGCAGCATGACTAGACACAGAACACCATTAGCTTCCCACCAAGGTGGTACCTATTTATCTACTTACATTTTTACTGCTTTCGAACTGCTAGGTTGGCAAGAGAATGAATATATACGTGTCTGTTAATTAGATTCCGAGTTGTCTAATTTGTTACCTGAATTTTTAATTTTGACTTAGTTGTCTGCACTGAATCAGAGATTTGCTTATAGTATGCCAGGTTTACAAAAGTTAAAAAAAATTCAAGGACAGGCTTATTTCATCATGGGAAAGATATGTTGTGTACGTTTCAGACAGGCAGCCCTGTCGGTCTGTTTGAAGAACAATAAAAACAAAACAAAAACAAAATATTGTAGCCTCTAAAAACTATAATTTATTTCAGTGTGAGTTTTCAAGGATACAATCTACTTATTCAGATACAGGACATGAAGTGGACTGTATCCACAAAAGCCCACCCTCCCCAAAAGAAATTGGATAGTTTTAAAAGTATTGCAATATCATTTGTTTTGCTTTCTTTTTGCTTTTAGCTGTAATGGTGATTCTCCAAGTGGATTATCTGTGAACTCACACGTATGGCTCTTGCACCTGCATAGAGACCCATCTCTCATAATCCAAAGCTGAGTAGCCTTAGGCAGAAATCCCACCCCACCATCCATTGCATTGCTTTCCATCACTTTCACATTCATTGTGAATTGTAGGGAAAAGGGTGGGTTGTGTGAGTTCACAGATGAACACTGGAAGAACCACAATAACAGGCAAGGAATTTGGTTGTTTTCTTTACGGTTTCTTTGATTGCCACCCCAAAATGGAAGAACACACTAACCACCCAAAAGCAGCCTTGGTCTATCATGTACATAGTTTGTAAAAGTTGACAAATGTGAGGTGATGGGACATTACTACTCTACAGACTTCTGGCAAAGACATTCCTGTCGGAAGGGTTGTGCAGGATACTGTAAAAGTTGTAGAATGGCTGGAAACACCCAGAGGGATAGATAGATGAACTACCTCCTAGCCAAGGTTAATCACTCCCATCATGCACTTTGCAAAGCTCTAAGCAGATACTGGAAGACTTTTCTTGGCCCCTCAATTACACAAATTCTTGGAGATTTCTATGTGTAGAAAGCCAGGACCTTGATAATGAAGCAATATATCTAAAGACATATCTAAGATATATCTTAAGTCCTCTATTCAGAACACATTACCATAGTCTCTTGAGACTGAAGGATGCTTAAATCTAAAGACATGGAAGGGTCCAAGAATGAAATAAATGTAAGTTTCTGCTTAATATGAAAGCAGCGATCACAATTAGAAATGTAACATGCAGCCTGAGTACAATCTTCTATTTACTAAAAATCAGGAATGGTTGGCTAAGTCATAACTCAGTAGCTTGATGCACAACATGATGCCCACTAGAAAGGTGAGTCTGAATGTAAGAAGAGGTAGATCAGTGGTGGCCAAAAGCTCAATGGGGACATTAGCTGAGGGCTTACAGTAGACAACTATGTCAAACCACAGGAAATTGCCATAGTTATTACGTCCTTTGAGGGACTTCTTATCAACAAACATGAAGAATTTGCAGGACATTTTGCAAAGTCACTCAGATTTGCTCTGACCTACATAGATGCTGTAGTTAATGCAAGTCCTGTGAATGTACGTAACTTTGGCTGCTGCTTGTCCCATTATATTAGAAACATTTCAATCTGGATATTCAGGATTCAGCCATGACTGGGAGTGCATTTGCACCAGCTCTGCCCATTCCTTGAGTTATTTCATTTGGTTACAGTGATACATGCTTTAGTTACATCTCATTTGGATTATGGCAACACACTGTACATGAAAACAGTTCATAAATATCCATCGGTGCAAAGTGCTGCAGACAGAGTGT